ACAATTTAAACATTAAACCTACTAAATGTTTTTTTGGAACAAATAAATTAAATTTTCTTAGCTGTGAAATTTCAAGTAAAGGTATCCGACCTTCTTTTTAACGTATTGAAACAATTTTATAATTTGAAAAACCTCTGTCGATTAACAAATTACAAACAATTTTTAGGTATGGTAAATTATTATCATAGATATAGTAAAATGTTAGCGACAGAATTAAGTCCTCTGTATGAAATGTTAACATTTAATATTAAAAGTAAACTAAAAGATTTTGAAAATGTTAAAAGCCTTTTCGCACAAAAAAAAATTATTAACAAATATTGACAAAAACGATCAATTATCAATTGCAGTAGATGCTTCAAATGTTGCTATTGGTGCTGTTTTACAACAAAAGAGTAAGAACAGATTAAAACCATTAGCATATTTTTCACGAAACACACACATGTTCTAAATTCTAAAGCAGATATATCTCCTTGTCAAATAAGACATTAAGAATATATTTCACAATTTACTAATGATATTAGATACATTTGTTGTAAAGATAGTAATGATTGCCGATACACTTTCTCGTATTCCAGAAATTAATTCAATTTCAACAAAAGACTAAAATTTTCAATATCTTTATGAAGAACAACAAAAAGACGAAATATTTAAAAATATTATTTCAGATCCAAATGCTAATAGTAATTTGAAGGAAATTAATATATCTATTCAAAATCTTAATATTTGATGTGATGTTACATAAACACCTTTTAGACCATATGTTCCTAATTAAATGAGAAAATATTTTTGAAAAAATTCATTCTTTATCACATCCAAGTGATCAAAAAAANACTCCAATTCAAAAGATTAATATTCCTTCTAGGCGATTTGAACATATTCATATGGATCTAGTAGGACCTCTTCCAGATTCAAAAGAGAATCAATGCATATTAACAATCATTGACAGAATCGATGACCGGTAGCATATTGGTTTCTGTTTCGGTATTCCATTCAATATAACGGTAGATCAAGGAGCACAATTTACTTCAAAATTATTTACTGAATTAACAAAATTATTAGGTTTTCACAAAATACACACTTCTCCATATCATACACAATCAAATGGAATAATTGAAAGATTTCACTGCAATTACAGCATCAAATGATTCAGTTCATTGGTCTGAAATTTTACCGTGGATTCTTTTAGGTTTACGAACAGTAATTAAGGAAGATCTAAAATGTTCTTCAGCTGAATTAGTTTATTTTCAAACCCTGAGGCTTCCGGGTGAACTCATTGCTTCCAATTATAATTATAACAATGAAATCGAAAATACAAATGAGATTCTTTCTAAATTAAGAAAACTTTTCTCATTTGTTCGATCGAGAGTAAGACATCATAATAAAGAAAATAGTTTCATTCATAGAAGTTTAAGTACTTGTAAATGTGTATTTGTTAAAGTTATTCATAAGTCTAATCTTGAACCCCTTTATGAGGGACCATTTAAAATTATATCCAAACACAACAAAACTTTTGAAATACAATATGGAAATAATATTAAAACAATAACAATAGTTTTACTTAAACCTGCAAACATTATGTCAACCATTTCTTCACGAGCCACAAATACACAAACAAAAACATTTAACCCTAATTAATATTATTACATATGCGTTACACTGGAGGGGGAGTAAATGCAGGAATCTACTTTATCATTTATAGCTCGCCATTTTTATTTTTTATGTTACTGAATTTTAAGTTTTCATTTTCTGATTATTATAATTTTCATTTTCAATCATAGAGTTTTTCTGAAATAAGTTTTAATTAAAAAATAAAGTTTTAAATTTTTATAAAAATAATTAATAATTAATTAATTACTAATTAATTTAATTAATATAAATATATAGATATACTCATCTATAATTGGATTATCCATTTTATTTTATGTTCTTATTTACGAGTAGAACGACATTTTTTAAATTTTCTTCGCATTTGGTAGGAAGTTTCGAATACATAGATTTATGAGAGTAAAATAAGGCAAAATAATTGATTAATTTCAAAACAAATAGGTAGAAGAGCGAAATATGTGTAAGGATCCTGAGTACACTCCAGCTGTAGTAGTAATAAGTTGTCGATAAATTTTCTGCTTCATTTTTAATTGTTCTTTTCACCTTTTCATTGTTCTTTTCACCTTTTCATTGTTCTTTTCACCTTTTCATTGTTCCTTTCACCTTTTCATTTCATTCGCAAATTCAAGAAATGCACCACATATTATTCGGAAAATTCAGTTAATGGAACAGGTGACTGGCATTGACGATGTGAGAAGCAGGTATCAACACATCTAAAAATATACAACAAAACTTTGCGAGGTTTCAAATTCAGGGCAGCAGCGGATAGGAGCAGAAGAGCTGCACCAACACCGGGTGCATAGACGATTTTGTTTAAATTATTTTTGCTAATTTTTGTAAATGAAATTATTGTTGTATTTTTATTTGTTTTCTATGCCATATGAAAATAAATACTGAATCTTAATAATATATTTGTGCAAAAGCTTATTTATTTTCTCATCATTGCTTTTCTTCATTTGTGTTCAGCTTATACGGTACCCCAGTATTTTTTACGTCAATATTGTTTTGTTTTAGTATCAATGTAGTAGCTCACCTGTGTTCTACTTGTCCTACAAGAAATACGAAAATGCCCAAGAGAACGAAGAGAGAATTTCACACGTACACTATTGTAAACAATGTAGTTTTGTCACTTCGTTAAGAAAGTAACGTAACATTCCTGACATTTGTGGACTCAAATGATCAACGCATTGAAATTACTAAAATTCACTATTCAGGCCCAGTTCCACTTCGATGGCCGCGTCAATAAGCAAATCTGTTTCATCTGGGGCTCCGAAACACCAAGATTTATTGTTGAAGAGCCTCTCCATTCTGACATGTAACTGTTTGGAGCTGTTTTATGGTCCGGCGGAGTCACTGAAACTTATATAACTAGTGCTTTGTAACCTCTGAAGCGATTTTCGGCCGAGCTCCTTCTCCAATTTGTGGTTTTGCGTCATGTTGTTTTTCCAACAAAGTAGAGGTACCCACAATTTATATCCGACCGGCTGATGTTTTTTTATGAGGAGCTTTTATTTTATGTCATAAATACATTGGATGGGTTGACGTTCTCTTTATTTAATTTAATTTTCTAAAACTTTTGGATGTTGTTCGTACCAGGATTTGAATCCGGGAACTCCTAATGGTAATACGCAATGCTAACCACCCGGCTGCTGCTGGAATTTACTTTATCGAAAATGAATGGTTTGCTCTATCGAGGAAAGATTAATGATTTTTCACGGCCGGAAACGGATGGTATTCATCTGGAAAACGTTTACTTTCAACAAGATGGGGCCACGTGCCACACAAGCAAGGAAACCATTGATCTTTTGAGTGAAAAGTTTTTTAATATCAAAATAATACCTATAATAAAATATAATATATATAAAACTATTGACTATTTTTTAACCTTAATGCCCGGGATCCCAACATAAAACCTTTGAATTTAACTAGTTTTCGTTAATCTAACTTTGAAAAAGGAAATAACATTCAAATATCTATTTTAAGCCTTGTTAATTTTTTCTCAACAACTTTTCAACTCGAAACCGTCAAACGCTTTGGAGATTCTATTGTATATTAATTATGTAACGAACCTATATACTAAGGTGAAACTAAAATTAAATAAATCAAAAATAAATATGCGGGTCCATCTTAATAGCGTTTACAAATATAGTGAGCGGGGGACGCTAGCTTTCAATTAAGTGCGACTTCACTTAAGACCGGGTGCGGAGTAGTTATATATAATATAAAAAAAAACATATTACATAGCAAAATACCGTTGCTAAATGTAAATTTACCTAAAAAGGAAAGAAATATAAAGCGACAAAATATTTATACATAGTAAAACCGGAAGCAAAGCATTGGAAGTAGTGAAGATTGATAAATAAGCATACGTGTATAGCTTACAATTATGAAATCGGACACCAGATGTTATGAACATACATACATAAACGTCTAAACATAAAGAATGTTTAAATTATATACATATATTATATATACACATGTAGAACTGGCGTATGCTTCAAAAATGCCAAAAATGCAAAATTTTATCAAAAATAATTCGGAGTGAGGCAAAAAATAAAAAAATTAGTAAAATTAATGATAACACAAAATAAATTTATATATCTTTGTATATACATGTGTTCATGTTATGGCGTGAAATACATTAAGATAGATCATTAGCGGGCAAAGTAGCTGGGTGGTAAAGGAAAAGTTTTTATAATTGTTGGGAGGAGGTTAATAATAAATTTTAGGTCCATCCAAACCAACAATAACACGCCCATCGAAAATCGAAAGAGAAGCGGCAGAAAACTGTTACAACGGTTCTACATTATCTAGACACTCACATAGTACATAAATCTCCGCGATGACAAGTATCCTGGGTCGATAACCTTAACTATTCAAGATAAAAAGTCTTAAATCACAAATTACTTTGTCAGAAAGGCTAGGAATAGTTACTAAGCTATTTTAAATCTTAAATTCTACATTTCTATAAAATGGAGAAAAACTACTTTTATTTTATAAAATTCTTTCAACAAAACATTTACTTTGATTTGTTAAATTTCAGATTTTTTTCGGATTTAAAAAAGCGCTTCAACCAGTCTAATGAACATATTTATGTAAAGAACAATAATTGTAGAACTTCCGTGCGTTATCTTAAATTAAGAATAGTATAGCGCATGATCATATGTTCATATATATATAAATGTGCATATATATATAGGTACTTGCAGTATGAGCCGTTAGTTATTTATCGTAGAATTCTTATACAAATCATGCATACATAACTCTGCACGCTTATCCTTCATGAGGCACATGATGTATATATGCACTCGTACATGTGTATATGAGTTGAGATACGCAAAATAAGTATTTGTAGCACTACGAATAATTTTAATTAAATAGTTTGTATGAAAACGTCTTAAGTGTTAGATGCATTGTTACTCGCATTGCAATAACAATTTTAAACTTACGGTCTTGAAATAATTTAGTTTGTGTTTGATGCTGCACTTCAAAGATGCGCAAGTGTCATTTGGTTATAATTTTTCTGGCGTTTGTTCATCAAACGGCGAGTTGCCCGATAGCCTGTACTTGTCTGGCACGTACGGTGCGATGCACAAACGCGGTTTTACGAAGTGTCCCCCAGAATATAAGCAATGATGTGCAGTTGTTGTAAGTGAAATTATTTGTATTTATTTTCAACCATTGAAGAGGTGGCAGTTTCTATAGAAAGCTTTTTACTTTTGCAAAAGATTACACAAATTTTAGTTTTCGAAAATATGTTAATACATACATATTTGAGAAGTCAGAATTTTAGGGGCAGAAAAAGATAGAATTTTAAACCTTTGAGCTTAAAAGGAGTACTAATTTTTATTATTTAAATTTTTAATATTAACGCACTCAAAACTATTTTTATGTATTTAAATTGAAATAGTGATTTAGCAGTCGATTTTTATTTGAAAATTGGTCAAAAATTAAAACTAAAAGTTTAAGGTAAATCATTGGATCCCAACTAAGAGTTTGCGAATAGTTCTCTGGATTTCTTAAATTATTTTATCTTCTTCCAGCCATCCGTGCCCACCTCCATAAGGTGGGAGCATCGTGTAAGATGGCTAGTCTCAACCGGCTGAAAGCCGAACATCTTCTGCGCATTCTCTGCACTCAGCCGACTCCAGTTTACTAAGCAAGCTTGTGGAAATTCTATCTCATGGGCAAATGATTTGTTAATATACCCAAAAGAGTACTGAGCTCTCTTTAGTTTAATACTTTTATTGTCCACACACTTCATTTAAGTGTTTCTCCATGGTTAAAACATTTGAAGGCACTGACGGGTATGACGCAGTCGATGATGACAGCTTAGCCTAGCGGCGTATCAACTGAGACACAAGTGATATTCATTGTATTTTCCCGCGATGGTCTGATAATTGCTCCTTTTCATATTCTAACGCATTTGAGCTTTGCGTTGACTCTTAAGTGTGTCTTGACTGTCTGCTAGAAACCTGGCAGATGTTCCTATAAAAGCGGTATTCTATAGTTATTTTTAGTAATGATCCCAATCTCTGTTTGGAAAACGGAGTTGTAGTCATTGAGTGTGAAACTACTTCGGATATAGGGCTAGTCGCAGCAGAACCCTTTTTCTATTCGTGCGTCACATTTAAACCCATCGGTATAGGTATGAATGCATTCACTGTTATCAATAGACCCGCTTTCAGCCCATTCTTCCTTAATAGGGAAGGAGTAGATGGCATCCACCCGGCATAAGATTTCAGTTTCTCGGTCACATTTTACGTTAGGAACTGGATCCAATTGACTCCAATATTTAGACGGCTAGCTGATGGTGTTGCACATACATAATGTATGTATGTATGTTAATTGGCTTTTGTTTAGGATAAAGTCCTCATCGCGCCTGCTATAACAACAAGAAAGGTACATTGCACCTGGTCCAGGGGCTTAATACGACACCTCTTATTTAATGTCGTTAGTTACGTTTGTAAAGATCTTACGACACTTGTGTAAACACAAAACACCAGGCCGTTTTGGCGGAATATTTCTTTTACAAGTAATAATTTGGAGTGCTTTACGGGCCCCGCTATAAATATGCTTCATATCTATTACCCATGATAGTCGGTTGTTTCCCAGAAGATAGGTTAACAAGATTATTTGTATAACATACAACATTTAAGTTCACTGTTGTAAGCAGTTGGAGTAACTGGTTTATCAATGAGACCCACAATAGCGGCGATAAGATTTCGCCTTGTGGAATGCCGCATGTGGTTTTGTGAGATAAAAAATATTAAGGCTGTGTCCTTTTATTGTTCATAAGCTTAGCATGCTTTTATCAATTTTATTTGCCATTACTTATGTTATACATAAATAATGTTTAATTTGGGCTTTTTTTAACCAGGGGTTTCTGGAACTAGGCTAGAAACTTTTTTTAAGTGCAAGTCTGATCTGCTCGCTTCTTGGTAAGATTAAATTCTTCGACCCCACAAATTTCCGTTTCCCTAAAAGGATTTGTTGTTTAAATTAGAACCAAATACTTTTCGATTAATTTGAATTATCTTATCTCATTTATTCTTGTTAATTAGAAATATCCGATTTATGCCAAATATGCACCGATAACTTTTTGCCATTGTGATTATTATGAAATCCTGCTTCCGACTTTCATAGGCTTTTTTTGAGGTCAATTCTTCACCAGCCTTAAACATGAATAGATGGTAATAGCTCGGTCCGAGGTCCGGAGTAAAAGGTGAATGAATAAGAGTCAATATCGACGAATGCTATCTGACGTTATCCTGATCAAATCCATCAGCCGTTTGAAGGCGGTGAATTATATTGACTCTCTAAAAGTAAAAAATTTAGAAATCACTTTTTATATCATTTTTTTTATGTGTTACGATATTAAATATATTAAAATCAAGGCTTGGAGCATGATGAAATAATAGCCAGATGTAGTAAGAAGAGTAGAAAGAGACTTTGACACGGCCCTAGCTCAACGTGGTATTTTCGAATTTGAAGAAAAAGAGGTGAAAAAAAGACCAAAAGTTTTAAGTTTTTCAAAAATATATGTATACACTATGTATGTATGCAAACATTATTTATACATATATAATTGGTGCTTTGTAACAGCTAAAGCGTTTTTCGGTCGAGCTCCACCTCCAATTTATGTTGTGCATCTTGATGTTTTCTCAACAAATGGAGAGACCTAAACTTAATTCTAAGCTACCTCAAAACTCCTGACGGGTTTTTATCAGAAATCAATTGGCGGTCGTGACACTCTCTCCCTATTGACGATCAATTTAAATTATCTCCAAGCTTCGCTTTACTATTGTGCAGTGAAGGCAGGAGGAAGACTCTTGTTCGTACATAGAAATTAGCTCTAGAAAATGGATAAAAAAAATCAGTTTCTTAACGCGAATAGTAAGAATTGCTTTTATACAAATTTCAATTTATCACTATACAATTAGTAGTCTGGATTCCATACCATTAATAATTTGGTAATGTATGGGTCATTAGTCTTTAGCACAACATTATTTTGCCTTAACACAATAATTTGTATTATTTACAAAAACCTACAATAACTTAAGGACCATTGTTCCAATATGAAGAGATGTTCATTGTACATTTACAGAAATTAATATATTATGGAAAGTGATTATTGTTAAAGTATTTATACATGTGAGAAGGCTATAAAGTTGCGCAGATGCATTTTGAAACTATTTAACCCATTGGTTGGCTGATTATCGAAAAAAATTTCGTAAGATTTAGCTGGTACTTGCTTAAGAGCAATACATTCGAAATAGATGCCATTCAAAAACGGCAAAGTCTTTTGAGTATAGCATCGCCACAAAATGAAGTATTTATTTGAATAATATTAACATATATGTATATATATAATTGGCACTTTGTAACCACTTAAGTGAGAGGCCTACAATTTATACTAAGCCACCTCCGAACGGCAGATGGTTTTTTACGAGGAGGCTTTATTTCATTATATTAATATAGTTTTACATACTTAAATACAAAATTTGAATTTACCCCTTTGCTATGAATTATGAATAAATACATATACTTATTGTAAGTTCATATTATGAAAATTTGCATTATATCCAAAAACCTCCTTTATATTTTGCCAAAATACAATTTTTTATAGAAAAAATATTTTTTAACAAGCCATCATAAGTGTTTATGGAAATTTTTGTTGGAAAATAATATTGATTTTCATAATTAAAAAATGATTGAAGGTTGGAATACATTTTCAAGACATAAAATAATTGAGAATGTATTTAATTTTATTTAAAATCTTACAAATCGAAATGGTAAGTTGTGTAATGGATAAAATTCTGCAAATTCAAATCTTCGGCAACCCACAAAATTTAACCAACTTCGTCATTAAACCTAAGATTTTGCACTTGTCGTAAACTCTTATTATATTATATAAATCTTGTATTGAAATACTTTTAAGACTTAGAATAATAAATCTTACTTCAATATTAATATATATATATGTACATATATGTTCTCATATTCTTCTTCCACTTAGAGACTTGCGCTTTGATCGTTTGGAGGCAATACCAGCTCATGCGTTTACAGGATTATCGCTTCTTACAACACTATTTCTAGATTACAACGTCATAAGAACACTAGACAAAGAAGCATTTTCTGGACTCGTTAATTTAAAGCAACTGCATTTGGGTAATAATCAAATTCAGGACATCCCAGAATACTTATTTCAACCATCTAAAAATCTTAAAGCCATGTGAGTAATGTAATTAAATATATTATATATATATATATATATTGTATATTGTATGTTTGTTTAAGTTAGATAACATAATTTCTTCAATAAAGAAGGTGATAGTTATTAAATTATGAGAAATCCTAATTAAGTTTCAACACATACAAAGTTTTTCTTTATCTATTGTTAATCTACTTCATTACACGTTGTAGCGGTAGAATTGTTACATCAGTTATACTTAATTAGGGAAGCCGAAGTCTTCCACGAAAATGTATATATAAATGCCTCGAAGTAAGCCGAACGCCAATGTTCTCAGCTGAGCTTTAGCATAGTGAAGTTAAACCAGTGAACGTAGAATAACGAGAAGGACCGATTGCGGACAGGCGTGTATAATCGACGAAAGAAATAAGAGACTATTAACAGAATTGGCTCTGTTTGTCAACATTTCTGAGCTAGATAATAATAAATTAATAAAACAATTATCTCCCAAATATCATTATTCTGTAAATAATTTGTCAGTCTCTTGTAGTTCGCTGTTAACTTGCTGTGAAATAGTCTCCTACTAACATCGTATAGAGGTGAAATCGTCTCATAGCAATCCCGTAAGTGGAACAAATGGCGATCGGCACTCCCCGGTTTTTCTCCTTAATATACGTTCTCTGGTAAAACGTACAAGAATAATAATTATTTACTGCTACGAAGGTAAAAGCATCGTTAAACACAAAACATCATAAAACAGATATATCTAAATTGATCCGTGCCAGACTCACTTCACAGAAGAAAAGGTGATGTTTATGATAATTTGCTCAAGCGTCGTGAGTAACATGGTAACAGGCTTAACGGGGGTTTCCACCTAAAGAAATCTGTTGTATAAAAGAATTTTGCTGTGAGTGCGCAGTAGTTTTGTGAACTGGTTTATGAGGAAAACCGATTTTCAAAACTGTCGGGTTTATTCTCGGTTGTTTGCTTTGCCAAAAATATAATTATTTACCTAAAATTGGAGCAAAATTTAGCAAAGTTAGTCTTGGCTGCACTGATATTCTGTATTTACCTCGTATAGAACATTTGGCGTGTATGCTTGTCGGCTTAACGCGAGTAGAATAAACACGTGTAAAAATGGAACGTATGAAAGCTATTTTTTTCATGGAAGAAATCTAGTAAATTAGTAACAGTGTTATAGATGTTGGTCTGAGAAAAACTCAAACACCCAGCCAGAGAAATGTGACGAACAGGGTGTTCAAACTTACCCACAAGGATATATATATAAAATGATAATAATTTAATTCTTCTCTTATTCTCTCTTAGCGTAGGCCCGTCTCGGCACGGCACGCGATTATAGTTCTTCCTTGTGTAGCGCCAGTTGGAAATACCAAGTGAAACTAGATTTCTTTCCGCATAATCCTTACAAGGGAGTGAGGTTTTCTTCCTTCTTTGCTTCCACCGCGACGAATTCTTTTAACGCTTGAGTGTTTCATCGTAAAAATTTTTTTTACCGACATCGTCGAAAAGAATAGAATTCATTTCACCTAACAGCGAAAATGATGCAGTAACAAAAAAAAAAAAACATACAATTTCATTTTTTTAAGAACATAACTATAGTTGTATATTAATTAACATTTAGTAGTATACTCCTTGCTGTCTATGACTGCTTTCATACGTTTGGGCATGGATTCCACTAACCTCTTCGTGTAATCATGACCAATATTGCTTCATTCTGTTTGTAGGGCTTTTTTAGGTCGGTTTGATTTCGAATCTCATATTTTCGAGTCTCTTGTTGCAAAACTGACCACATGCAGACAGTTCCGAATAAGCCAACTTAGCGCAACGCCTGATTTGTGTTTCAGATCATTATCTTGGTAGTATCGAAACTGAAATACAAATTTCTTACTCCAGGAGACGACATGCATCCCCATACCATTACATGCCCCTCCACCATGTTTTACAGTGCTACGTAAATTTTGCGGCTGTAACGCAGCATTTGGTTTTCTCCATACATAGCTTTTTCCATCCGCAAAAATTACGGTGGCCCAGAAACTTTCATCATTATATAAATGCTTATTTGCAAACTTCAGCCTCGCACTTTGATTTTTAGTACTAACATATGATATATTTCGAGTTGTGCGGCCATTGAAATCAGCTTCTCTGAGGATTCTTCGTATGGTTTCTGGGTTATAGTTTTTTCCAAGATATTTTAGTACATCCTAAAGCTGGAACTCTTAAGTGGGGGTTTTCGCGTATTTTCCGTACAATCCATCGGGAATCGCTTTCGTTAAATATTTCATTATGAGTCGTTTTAGTTTTATTTAAAACACGACTTTCATGAACATCGCGTTCAATCATATGCAACAGTTCCTTGGACCAATGTCCCCGTTTCCTCGATTTTACGATGACTTTTATCATCTTTATAATGTTTTAGGATTAATTCGCGCACCTCAATACATGTTTGGCGACCCACTTTGAACCACACTCACCCAATGTCAATACCATAATTTCAAAATTACCTCATATTACACCAAACTGTTTCGTCTTTTTTCTTCCCTTTAAAGAATATTCATTACTTTGTATTTTTATTTATTTTGAAACGATTTCGTGCAGATGAGGAGTTGAGTGGACGTCTATTTTAAGACTTAAATTCAATGGAGCCAAATAAATATTTCCACCCTTTTAAATTAAATTTAACAGCTATATATACCGAGATGTTCAAAATCGAATTTAAAAAAAAAATAAATACTAATTTATTATTTTTAATTTATTTATAACGAAAAGCAGATAGCAATATCTTTTCTTCCGCCATTAAAGACTGGTATAGAACCATGTGGAATATTTTAAATTCCTTTATTTTGTATTTTACAATAAATTACGATATCATTTTTCTGAATATTTTCAGCTATTTGGAAAACAACAACATTAAGGAAATTCGCGAAGGAACATTTGATAATTTGTTGCAACTCAACCAATTGTAAGTTATATATTTTTAAAATCACTATTATGCATAACGTTAATACCTTATATTCCATTTCCTCAATTTATTTCTAGTAGAAATTTGTACAGAAAATAAAAAATATTAAAAACCTGAAATGTAAAACTATTTATACATATTCAATCTCAAATTACCGTGGATTCATTTTAAGTTTCCTTATATCCGCAATCCAGTACATTTCAAAACGAAAACTAGTCCAAAGCTAATTGCAGCCGTCTCTCGGCAGAGAATGTCAAGGACAACAAGTATATTCCAGACATAAAAGCTCCTCTTAAAAATCCATCAGCCATTCGGAAATAGAAAAAATGTTTTTCTGTTTAATTCTATTCAACAATTTTTTTTAGATATATGCATGTACGAGTATTTCTGGACCCTTCTTGCATCTTCTTTCTTACTCCTTTGACCATACGCTATTAAGAATTTTATATTACTTGCAGAAATTTGCAAAATAACAAACTCGTTACTGTTCCCTCGGATGAATTTGCCCACCTGAGAAATCTGCAACACTTGCAAATTGATAAAAATCCTTTGAATTGCGATTGCGGAGTACATTCATTATGGAGGCAATTTCACAGAGATGTTGGGCTTTTTAATAACGTTCAAAAAATTCGTACGGAAGTCTCGCTTTCTTGTGCAACTTCTTCTTCTACTTATCTAGAATTAACAAAGCTTGAAGAAGAGGACTTTACATGCAGTAAGTAGAAATTAATTTATTAAATGTATTATTCAAATCTTTAATTTTATTATCGACATGCAAAACGGCAGCATAATCCTGATAGTTTTTCAAAATTTAGAAAAGACATTAAACGACTTAAAAAAGACATAACAAAATCCCGCCCACACAAATTGTTCTGTTCGAATTTTTTGTTTGGATGGTATTGGGACTGAATTGTGTCAGGTCTGGATTTATTTTTCAGAACTTGGCTGTGCCTGAAATATGTCCCTCTTATATGGAGAGTTGGAGAGTTATTCGCGTGTCAGACAAAGCCCATATACTCATACAATAGCCTTACAACCACAGCCTTAGCGATCATCAGCGTAGCTACAACAAGTTTTGACCAAGTCTGGATTAAAAACTTTTAGATGTTCGTCTGACTATACTATCTTTCGTAACGAATACTCGGTGACTACTCGGTTACAGTGGTCGCCAATCTATTGAATTTAAATACAGTAATTTAAACGTAGTCATTTGTTACTTGGAATTATGTTGTGCATTATTGGTGCTACCCTGGTCAGATCAACTTCCAAAGTTAAAGAAAATTAATTAAAACATACATATAATTGGAGGAACATAACTGAAAATCGCTTCAACTGTTACACATCACCAATTATATAAATGTGTATATCATTATTATAAACGCGAAGAAATATTCAAAGGTTTCGCAGAAAAAGATCAACACATAGTATTAAGAAGTAAATGTAGGCAATATTGTAAGCAATAAAAGAATCGAATAATAACAAGGGTGGAAAAGAGAAATTAGCTCCATGCCACTCATGATTATTTTCTGCCAGTTATGCCAGTCGCATACACGGTGTGTCCCAAAAATAACTGAACTTTTTGGTTATAAAATAAAATACACATTATATTATCTTTGAAAGCTATTATTTATACAAAATAGGTTCCATTTGACTCAACACAACGTTTGGAACGATCAACCAGCGCATGCATAGATTTTTTTATGTCTAGAAATATTCTTCAGTACCTCGGTTACGGCTGCTTGAATGGCTGGGATGCCATCATAAAATGCTCCCTTCATCTTGGTTTTCAGTTTTGGAAATAAAAAATAGTCACATGGGAAATGAGAAATTCCTTTTTTCATTAAAAATTCGAGCGATTTTTTGGTCGTCATTTAATTCCTGTGGAACAAATTGCGCACAGACCTTTCTTTTCCCCAAATCTTCAGTTAAAATTCTCCAAATAGTATTTTTACTCGTATTCAATTCCTCATTCAACATTCTCGTGGTAAAATTTGCATCGGTACCAATGATTTCTCGGACTTTTTCCACCAGTTCAGAACGATTACTAGTTTCTGGACGTCCTGCTCTGGGGTGGTCATTTAAATCCTCACGACCATTTTTAAATCGTGTAAACCACGTATAAACTTGCGTACGACTCATACAATCATCACAATAAACTTTGTTCATTATTTTAATTTTTTTTTTTCAATTTTGACACAAAATTTTATATTTGCTCTTTGTTCCATTTTATTTTTGGACCATTAGCACACTTTTGGTTTTATTGAAATGGCTGTCACTTTTACATCTGTCATCCGACTTACATGATATTAGGTGCGTTTGAAAGAGGATGAATATATATTTTTAATGTTGCAAATTTTCAATAGATGGCGCTGTATGTTGTATGATTTAAATATAAAGTTCGGTTATTTTTTGATATTATTTTGAAAACTCGTCTAAAAAATTACACGTGTAAGCGTGCTTTGTCATTAGTTATACATAGATTACGAAAATTATTAATTAGTTAAGGCGGCCGCGGCAGCCGAGTGGTTAGCATTGCGTACCGTCATTCGGAAGGCTACGATTCAAATCCTAGTATGACCAACATCCAAAAGTTATAGAAAATTAATTAGTGTAAACTGTAGGTCCCTAAATTAATTTTCTCTAATTTTGAATGAGGATCTGGCCAAAATTTGAAACCATAGCCACTCGCTGGTAACCACTATAGGGTATATATTCAATGGGAAAAAAATAAATTAAATGAGATTCTTCGGCTCTACCGGTACGCATTTCATGCTTACACTGAAAAGCTGTGAAGTTTTCCTGACATCAAAAAGGTCTTTTTAATTCTACTTTCACATAAATATACTTACACGTACGTTTGTTCGATTCCTACTTTTAGATCTCCCAGAAATTATATTAGCACCGCAAAATCAGTTAGTATTAGCAGGAAAATCATTCACATTGGAATGCGATGCGGATGGAGATCCTATTCCAAATATTTTTTGGCTTTTTAACGGAAATCCACTGGAAGCAGATGAGCGTAAAATACTGGATAATGAAAATACCGAGTTGCATATTAATAAAGCCATTAAGAGTGATGCAGGTAGGAATAATTTTATACTGTAGATATTGCGTGCACTAGTTTTCATTTGATTTCCTCACAGGTATTTACACATGTACAGCATACAACAGCAATGGGAAAATCACAGTTCAGGCGAATGTTACGATATCTGATGAAGACCGAAAACCAAGAATAATCATTGAACCCTATGATTTAGAAGTAGCAATCGGAACCATTATTGAAATACCTTGTAAATTTGAAAACATTGATAATGTGCAGGTAAAATATTATATATAAAGCATAGATCACATATTAAAATGTAAAGCTGAGATTACAACTTTTTAGAAATTTAAGATTGGTTAGCGTATTTAATGACATTCGGAAACCTGCTCTGTTGAAAATGAATTTAAATAAAAAATAAAGTTAGTTTTGTATAATTGCGATTGTTCCTCGATTATCAAACCCTCCAAATCTAAGCTCCTCATAAAAATCAATAAAAGCCATTCGGACTTAAGTAGACTCGTAATTGTTGGCATTTCCTTTCTTTTTAGCTAGAGAAAGCCTCGTTATCTTTTTTTATATTAAGTTGATCACTTTATCTTGTCAATATTCCAACTATTTAGACTCTTTTAAGTTAGCATCTTGGATGAATAACTCTCATAGTGAGCTTGTAAACGGATAGTAGATTGTTCCAAATCTTCCAATGGTGGCGAAAGGGGAAGGAAAGTCGACCGCTATCTCATTACCTGGTATTTTACTGTGCGCATGCACCCATAATATGTTCAGAGGAAATTATTTAGCTATTACTTTCAGTGATCTACAGCATTGCTCTAAAGTTTCCGTGCTTATTGACAGGCTATCCAAAACAAATATGTTTATGTATACTCATTTAACAAAGATCGGAACTAAATCTATGCACAGTCTCATGTATGCAACTCAATAATTTCAGTGGTCACCAGCCTTCATAGAGTAGTAAAGCACCTGCCAAATATAGCCAACTCACTCTTTTAACCGACGTGCCCAATTTGTGGTCAGTCGCGCTTTTGTGAATAGATTTTTTTTATTTGGAATGAGGACAAGCTGTTTCATGTGTATACCCCCTTCACCACGTCCACAAAAAATACACACATCTTACTCTTTCATTGAGATAAAACTCTCCATATCACGACGCTTAACGCTGTTTCCCCCGTTTTACTTCATGTAGGATCTTGAGACCCACAGTACCCCTGATAATAATATATTTATCTATGAACATAAATTAGTGAAGTTATTGAATTATGATTTCTATAGTGCCATTTGTTTCTTCATAATATATATAAATATATATTTAAAGATTGTTTGGAGACATGACGGTCGACTTATTACTCCAAATGTGCTTTCGGACAACAAATATCAAGTTCGTAAATCTGGAAGTCTGCTTGTGAGAGATTTTACTGTGGCTGACGGTGGTCGTTACGAGTGCACCTTAAAAAATCAATATGGGCGAGCTACTGCTTCGGCTCTTGTCAAAATCAAGTAACTTCCTTTCCCTGTTTTTTGTTTTAAATTTATACTTCTATACTTTTGTTTTTTTACAGAAATAGTGCAACGAAAACGCCAGGTGATAACTACGTGAGAATAGCATTTAATGAAGCATCGAAGGAAATCGACCTGGCCATCAACAATACAATCGAGACTCTATTTACAAAACGCAATTCGGCCTCCAATGGCAAACACAATTACGCTGATCTTTTACGTGTATTCAGATTTCCTAAGGGAGAAGCGCGGCAACTGGCTCGAGCTGCTGAAATTTATGAACGAACTCTTGTAAATATAAGAAAGCATATCGCAAAGGGCGAAAATCTTAGTATGCCAAGTCAAGATTATGAGTTTCGTGAGCTTCTATCGCGTGAACATTTACATTTAGTAGCGGAACTGTCCGGCTGTGTGGAGCATCGCGAGAAGCCCAATTGCACAGATATGTGCTATCATTCGAAATATCGTAGTATCGATGGTTCCTGTAACAATTTAAGAAACCCTTGGTGGGGTGCATCACTTACAGCTTTTAGGCGTATTGCAAAACCAATATATGAAAATGGTTTTAGTACACCCATAGGCTGGACAAAATCACAATTATATGCGGGTTTCTTAAAACCTAGCTCGCGTTTGGTTTCAACATCGCTTATTACAACCAAACATATTACTCCAGATGAACGTATCACCCATATGGTCATGCAATGGGGTCAGTTTTTGGATCACGACTTGGATCATGCGTTGCCATCGGTTAGTTCGGAAAGTTGGGATGGTATTGATTGTAAAAAGACATGTGAGTTTGCTCCTCCATGTTTCCCTATTGAAGTACCGCCAGGAGATCCCCGTATAAAAAATCGCCGTTGTATTGATGTTATACGTTCTAGTTCTGTATGTGGTTCCGGAATGACTTCACTATTCTTTGAAGGTATACAACATAGAGAGCAAATCAATCAGCTAACATCTTACATAGATGCGTCTCAAGTATATGGTTATAGCTATGAATTTTCCACTGAATTAAGGAATCTCACTACAGATGATGGACTCTTGAGGACAGGAGTTCAGTTTCCCGGTCAAAAAGATATGTTACCATTTGCTGCACCTCAAGATGGTATGGATTGCCGACGAAATCTGGACGAAAATACAATGAATTGCTTTGTTGCCGGTGATATAAGAGTTAATGAGCAGATTGGTTTATTGGCTATGCACACTATTTGGATGCGTGAGCATAACCGGATTGCCACAAAATTGCGTGAAATAAATCCTCATTGGGATGGAGACACTATATATCAAGAAGCTCGCAAAATTATTGGAGCTCAAATGCAACATATTACATTTAACCACTGGCTACCATTAATTATCGGAAAAAGTGGACTTAAATTGTTAGGAGAATATCGTGGATATGATCCTAATATAAATCCCTCTATTGCAAATGTTTTTGCCACGGCTGCTCTTCGGTTTGGTCACACTATAATAAACCCGGTATTACATCGGCTTAACTCTACGTTTCAACCAATTTCGCAAGGTCATTTGCCTTTGCATAAAGCATTTTTCGCCCCTTGGCGCATTGCATATGAAGGTGGGGTAGATCCGCTCATGCGTGGTATGTTTTCAATACCAGCTAAATTAAAAACACCTGATCAAAATCTCAATAGCGAACTAACTGAGAAATTATTTCAAACCGCACATGCTGTTGCTTTAGATCTAGCTGCCATAAATATTCAGCGAGGCAGAGATCATGGAATACCTGGATACAATGTATACAGGCAATTTTGCAATCTTTCTACCGCTAAAACTTTTGATGACTTACAAGAGGATATTAAGAGCATTGATGTGCGGAAGAAACTTCAGGAGCTGTATGGACATCCGGATAATATTGATGTATGGGTCGGTGGTGTTTTAGAAGACCAAGTTGAGGACGGTAAAGTGGGACCCTTATTCCAATGCTTACTGGTGGAACAATTTCGACGACTACGTGATGGTGATAGATTTTATTATGAAAACCCGGGTGTTTTTCTACCACAACAACTGAATCAAATAAAACAGGCCAGTCTGGGACGAGTTCTTTGCGATAACGGTGATGATATCAAGGAAATAACATCGAATGTATTTTTACTGCCTAAAGTGCAAAATGGTTATAAGAAATGCGTCGACATACCCGAAATAAACTTATATTTTTGGCAGGATTGCGGTTCGTGTAACAGTCTTCCGCCGCTTTTGGAATCCGAAGGTAGCATACTTTTCGAAAATCATCATTTGCAGAAAAGGTCAGCCATATTTGCTACTGCCGCGGAGAAGAAAACTAAAGAAATCAAAAACTCAAAATTGAATCAATTAGAGAAGGCACTGAAAAAGTTGCAAGAAGAACTCGATGAGTACAAAGTTAAAATTCGAAATCTTGAAGACAAAAAGTTGGTTGAATAAAAAACAAAACTGTTTTGAATAATTTTAATTAAAAAATGTTAAATTTCAAAAAAAAAACCTCAAAACCTTTAATTTTCTTAGTCGAGTTTAAGGGCTGAAAGGCACTGATTTTTTTCTAAGGACTGTTGGTTGTTCGAGAGTCATCATCATATCACGTCGTTCTCCTGCTAACCTTTAAGCTTAGCGTGAGATATTTTCCACCTTTTGGTATAAAAAGCACTCTAGAAGCGCTTGATGACTTTGGTATGAGGCTTAGACAATAAAATGGAATTATTACGTTGGGTAAAATGAAGGATAGAGAATGGGAATATTTCATTTGCAACATTTCATAAAATTTTTCACATCTCGGAGATTTTCAGTACTTTTCATGTATCACTCTTCTTATCCTCGCATTTGAATAATAAGTTTTCTTCACTCGTCATTAAGACTCGGTGTTACCTTGCATTTAATTAAAGAAGTTAGACAGTTTAATCCTGTTTTCACCTATATTTATACCAATACTAGCTGTACCCTGCAACGCTTCGCTGTCGCACATACTCATACCTTGTCCACTTTCGGAGAGAAGTGTGTCCTGTTAATCTAGACAAAAAGCCTGCTATACGTCGAATTTCAATTAAGTCGAACCATAAATAGGATTTCAACTCTCAAGACAGCCGGTTCTACGCATCGGGGTTGAACCGGGTTTTACCCGGCCAATGGCTGTCACCCTTTTGGCGACCTAACCCCGTTTAGATCAACAGGTAAAATTAGTTTAAGTTCGCTGGAGCAACGGAGAAACTCTTCGCAGCTAGGCTCATTGATGGCGTCGAAACGAACCATAGTCCGACGGATTATTTGTGCTAAGTGTGCCAGAAAAGACTCCACCACTCCTCCATCTCGGTTAGGTGCAACCAGTGCAATGGTTAGAATTATATTAGGCCTGCTCAGGCAGTGCCTTCAGCACCTTTACCCACTTTGGGTAACAACAGACCTCTACGGTCTCACGGAGCATGACTTCCATCCATGACACTGTGCAGTATCATCTTATCGACGGCGACATCGACCGCAGGAATACTACTCTAGAATGTCAGGGCATAGCTATTTAATATATACATTCCTCCTGTTACAAGTTGCCAAGTTGAATATAGCAGAACAGATAGACGATTCGACATTCTGCACAATGAACGACAATACCCCCAACAGAGTTGTGGATAATTGCAAAAGCTCGCCAGATATAACAATTGCGAGTACTGGTCTGATAAACAGTATGACCTGGCGACCCGTACTGACACTAGCATCGGACCGCTTACCCATACAAATCTTGATTAGCAGGCCAGTCATTTGTTAAACTTTAAAACTTTAAAAAAGCTAACTGTTCCGGCACCACGGAATTAACCGATAACGCCTTCAGTGCTCTCCCCACTCCATCAGACGTCACTTCTGGTGAATGTTTCTTCCACAGGGTCGTCGTGACCACTGCCGCCCGCTTCATCCCAGCAGCGCGAGTCGTGGAAATCTACCCCAATTTTCCGACAGAAGCGGCGGGCTTAGCATCTAGGCGCAACGGAATAAGCATGCTCATCCCAAAGCATTTTCTACCAGCAGGAGCAGACTTTCTCATGGGCAGGGTGGTCCCGCTACTCAAGCCGCAGAAACCAGCCAACATAAGAGAGTCTTATCGGCCGATAACTCTCCTCTCCCCGGTGGAGAAGACACTTGAGGCCTTGCTGTTTCCGACCGTCACTCACCGCCTGTATCCAGCAGCACATCAGCATGGCTTCCGTAACGTGCATAGTACCACAACAGCACTTAACGCCATAAACACCCAGATAGTCCATGGCCTTAACCAAAACCGACTCTGCGCGCGAGCTGTCCTGGTAGTTCTAAAACTGTCAAAAGCTTTTCATTCCGTCAACCATTCAGTGCTATTGACGGATATTGAGGAACCCTCATTGCCGCCAAGGTTGCAGAGTTGGGTCATGGGCTACCTGACTGGTCGACAATCATCGGTAATATTCCGATGGGAAACGTCGATACCCAGAAAAATTAAACAGGGGGTTCCGCTGGGTGGTGTCCTTCCCTACTCCTGTTTAATTTTTACACGAAACTCCCTCCTCCACCAGAAGGAGTTGCCCTAACCTCGTATGCCGATGATGGAAAACCGCTACCCATTGCAGACAACGAGTTCGAGCTGCCTCGAGAGACCCGCGTGATCTTGGCTCAACTTAGGTCTGGATATTGTAGTAGGTTAAACTCCTACCTCTCCAGACTCGACCCCAGCATACCCAACGTATGCACTGTATGGGGAGAGTCCCTCTCCCTCTGGTCCAATCTCGTCGAAACAGCACGTTTCCTGTACCTCTCACTAGATGACCTCGGCGACTTAGATTGATTAAACTTGTCCCTAAGCGGGGAGAGCGAACCGCTACAACAGCAACAACAACAACATAAATCAGATTTTTACGAATATTTCAGTCCATTGTTCCAAACGGACTTAAAACTATTTTTTCAAAAAAAGCTTCTCAGAAATAATAGAAATGATCTGAAGAAATTTCAATATAATCGGTCTGAAAATTTTTGAGAACACCCGTTGCAAATGGACATAATAGTTTTTTCCGAAAGGGTCAGTGCCGGGTCCTCTTCCCCAAATTGTTTTTTCTTATAAACCTTTCCATAGAAACAATCTTACAAAAATTTAGTCGATAACTTTTGCAGATTACTGACTTTTTCCAAACAATCATACGATTTTTATCTGAGAAGAAATGATATAAGATATATTCACCAACAAATGAAAACTGTTCGAATGAGAAAGATAAAACAAATAAAATAAAAGTAAAACAAAAAAAAATTTTTAAAAAAAATTGTGTAGGGAAAAAAGTAACTTCTGTAAAATTTTACAACTTTCCGACTTTTACTCAGGAAAAGTATACGTTATTACTTAACCTTCCCAGATCCAAAAGGAACAATCTCTGAAAATTTCAACAAGACTTTTCCAGCCATTCTAGAGCATTAGCGTCACTAACAAACGAACATTCGTTTTTATATACTCTTATTAAGACACACATCTCTAAAATAGACATCAAAAAATCTTCATTAAAAATAGGGTTCAAAATTTTTAAAAGCGACCATGATTTATTATCTTTGAATTTAAATTCGAATAAGGGTTTTTCAAAGAGTTAGTTGTTCTTAATCGTTGTTTTTAGGACCGTTAAGGGGGGGTAGGGTTTTGAAGACAGAAAAAAACAGGTTTCTACAGATTTTTTTTTGGGCGTACGGTGAAAGTAAATTTATTTCTGATTATTGTACATTAAAGAGTTGTAATTGAACTATATTCTGTGAAATATTGGTTGGAAAATATTGACAATTGACCGAATGGCAGCAATTCATCGCAGGCGCCTCAGAAAAAATACATTTTGCGGTGCACGTCATACCTCAGCACTGGATCATCTTAAATGAAATAACCAAAGTTTTTCTCTCAATTTTTATGTCCCTCTAGGTATCCCTGTCGAGTTTTTCCATTTTTTTTAAATTTTTGAACTTTTTACAAGACTTGAAAGTGAAAATACCGATTTTTGGTCAAAATTCATGACTATTGTTGTTAATAATAAAAAAATTAAAATAAAAAACGAAAAAAATTCGACAGGGTTACCTCATAAATTATGTAAGGAAATACTGTACGATCGGTTGAATAGATTCTGAGATACAGAGTGCACCGACTCAAAAAACATCGATTTGAGAAAATCGCGTTCAAAGTTCTCGCGCCCGCTTATCAGTCTCCTGAGCGCACTGTCTCTCAGAGGCCATTTCTGCGGAACTACTAGGAATTTGACTCTGAAACTTTGTGGAAATATTTCTGAATATATTTCTAATCGAATGAAATAAGTTTAAAAAAATCGATTTTTTCGACCCTCTAAACCAGGCTCCCCCCTTAAGGCAAAACCATAAATGATAGTGAGAGCCATGGTTTATCGAAATTATCAATAAAATGGCTGTCGTATTTTCAAATAATAATTAATGTCTTGTATTTTGGCTTTTGTCTTAACCATACACTTTGCTTAAATAAAGAGGAGAGTTAAAAACTTCGATAATATTTCCGTAAAGATGTTATTCTTTGCTGCTTTGACACGAAATGGTATCTTAATGTGTGTTGTATGGATTAGGGGTGCTGGTTACGTAAGCAAGATACACAAAGAGGGTAGGACGACTACACTTGACAGGACAAGTCTTTCCTTTTCCAACTTTCTCTTACCTTCGATTTCCTATCCCGAGCTCTTTTTAGGTTGCTCCCCAAATATATTTTTTTCTCTTTAAAATCAGGCCTGATTTTGTTTTTGCTCATACTGGAGACGGTAAGGCGGGTGGAAACAACCACCCCATTCGGCGAGCTAGTCCAGGTGAAAAACCACCATGCCTGAGAACCACTTCGCCTACCGACTACATCCTCGCATGTTGCATAGTTCAGCTAACATTTTCGGCCAAAAGGTAAAAAATACTTTCAAGCTCATTTTCGTATTTCAAACGTCCTTCATGAGAATCTAAACAATGAAATTTTTGCGAAGCAAATTTTAGGCACAAATTCATCCATTCTTTATCGATAGATAGCTATGAAGCGTGTAGAATTTCATCGTTGTTGCATTACAATAAATTTTGAATGCCACACAATTGCAACTTTTATTGAAATGCTTAAAAGCAGAAAACAATAAAGTATATAAACAAACGAAGTCAAATGTAACTGATAAAATGAACAGCTTGATTGAATGTGTTCGGTGAAACTCAGTGAATTTCTTTCTTTGGGAGAGTAAAACATCTAACTCATGTAATTCGCAGGAAAGGAATTGGCGCTTTGTAACCGCTGAAGCGATTTTTCAACAGAGTTCATTCTCCAATTTGTGGTTTTGGGACCTACAGTTTGTACTAATCCGCCTCCGAACAGCTTTTTTATGAGGACCTTTGTTTCATGTACGAAATGCACTCGCAGGGTGGGCATTTCCTGTCGGGGCGACGGAAATTAAAAAATTTAACTTAAGTTTTCATTTAGATATATTTTCCATAACTTTTCGATGTTGGTGGCAACGGGAACCCGAGCCTTCCGATAAACAAAATCGTCTATGAGTTCAAAGTCATGGCCGTCAACAATGAGATTTTAGCCAAGACGTTCCTCTATACAACTTTTTGGTACTGCGTGTTTACAAGCTACGGCCCTACGAATTAATCAAACGTCACTACATATATGAAGCAGTGATTGTGAATACCGGTTTTACTAATAAAAAAACTCAAAGTTTGTAATAACAATTAAACAATTACATAAGATTATAAATTTCGTAGGATTGAGTGGTTGTTGTAGTGTCCTCATAACCAAATGAGAATTTAAGGGTTGCACGAGCCGACAATGAATGTTTTGTTTTCCCGATGTGAAACTACTTACCACTACTTGCTTCGCCGATCTGCATTACCTTGATCATTGCGGATAGTACTAAGTTCGTCATATTAGCGTCATTTTTACCGCATATAGGTATTTATGGCATACTTTGGGCTATACGGGGTTACTAGCAACTCATTAAACACATTAGAAAATAGCGGCTAAATTAGCGAACTTAATAGTTGTTGGTTAATAATGAATCAAATAATACAACAACAGATTACATGGCTGATGTTGACTCAATATTAGAGCACTCGCCAGTTAAATCAGAATCCTTTGGTTGAATCCCTGCAACAAGATGTCTGGTGAGCAGATGTGTGGATCTCCGAAATATCTGTCACTTCTACAAATTTTTTTTGTTGCATAACAAACTATTTAATTCGTATAAAAACAACAAAGAGGATTAATTTTACTCTCGATGGTACAGCGAATTGTGAGAGAATTACTGAAAATGTCAGTGTCATACAGTTTGTTCTTCTTATTTTCGTGAATAATGGTAACAATTTAGACAAATGAATCAAATGAGCAATTATTATTATGCTAAAAAATACATTACACTGAATTGCCCTTCAAAACGTCAAAATAAAGCGTATTCGGTTCATATACACATGTAAATCTAATATTTTATTCTTTTAATTTTTCAACGATTAGATAAACTTACAAAATGATTAAATGAAATTTGAGCAGAAATAAAATCATTGAATATAATGAAAATTATACATACATAAATATAAAAGTGGTTCCAATTACATAGTCAACACAACATCCTTTTAATTAATTTATACGAAAACCTTGAGGTTAATCATTTAATCAACTTCCAACTTCCTGAAGCTTCCTACAAGTCCACCATCTATATCTTTCAGACCTTTAACCAAAGTATTATTGGAATCTTTATTGATTTCTATACACATATCGTCAAGAGACAGTATAGCAGCTCGTTTTTGCAGTAATTTTAACTTGAAATCCTTTATAATGTCATCCAAAGGGATTGTACCTCCATACTCTTTGGGAAGAATTTCAGGCTTTATCTTTTCTTTCAATTCATCAATCGATTTGTGAACCTGTATGGAAAAGTAAAAATTATATTGATGCAAATGTGAAAGAAACATACTACTTGTAGCTTTGTGCCTTACAGTTATACGGCCTTTAAGTTTATCACTTAGTAGTGATACTCCTAATTCGATAATACGATTTGCAAATTGCGGTATGTTTACAAAATGTGTCTCCTTGTGTCGCATAGGCGTTGAGTTCTGAAAAGTGAAATGTATTACTTATACAAAATCAACGCTTTATTATTATTTTCTTACTTACTTGTATGCATTTCACCATACTTCTCAAATCAGAAAGAGACCATAGACTGGCAAACCCCATGTTTATTCCACTCTCATCATTTATGTATACATAACCAGCCACTTGTGATTGCTCGTCATCTAGCAATCCTTCGCAGATCAATGAGTGTACGCGCGCCATTTGAACTGAGGTATATTTGTATGGGTCAAAATTTTTTGCGATAGATAGAATTATTTGTCTTCCATTATCATCCCTCTCTGGAAGTGGAACTAAGTAACCGTTGTCAAAAATTTCGCTAATAGTAGGGTCTGTAACATCCAGTTTCGAAAACCATTGAGGGAATAATTGCCGTATAGTCAAGTAACGTTCGAGCATTTCACAGGCATCAGGTACCGAAAACTTTTTCGTACGTAAAAATCGCAGAAGAAAAAGTGAATCTGTGCGGCATTTCTTTATACTCGGATGCTTCGATATCCATTCACGAAATTGTTTTAGCGCTTGTCGACGTATGTTATCATCCTCGTGCAGCTCCTCCTTAGCCACAATTTTCATTCCAGGAGAAAGAGTGCAAGTATAAGGATCAAAGTCATCAGAATGTTCTTGTTCGGACGTTTGTCGCTGATTGGTTGTCTCGGTATCCAACACTGAAAAGATTGTAACATATATGAGATAATAAGATGTACATGCAAAGGTATGTACAATATGTATAATATTTGAAATAAACTGAATCTAATAATATATATACGAGGTATGACAATTAAGTAATAAGACTGATGATATTGCCGCGACCCTGAAACAGAATTCATTTATTTACTGGATCTGCTATAATATAAGCCTAACAGTAAGTGTACAAATCTTAAAAACTAAATTGCAAACATGATAGCTCGAGTTATTTAACTCTGAGCCCTTTTCAAACTACGGCGATCTCCTTAGAAGGCGGGAACATCTTTTCGCTGCAGGCGGGAATTTCTCGATGGGTTGCATAAAGCATTAGCTAGCGGATTTGGATGATTTCTTAGCTTTGTGAAGTTCTTCGCACTGCTTCTCACTCTTAAAATTTTGGACAGTAACCTCTGTATTTTATCAATATTAGTTGCACAGGTCGAACCCCTCAATTGAGTACCATACACCCTAATTGGTTTTAATACTGCGTTGTAAATAAGGACTTTGTAGTCTAGTTTTAGACCGGAGCTTTTATTTAAAACCCAATTTAAACTAGCTGCTTTTAATTTCATGTGTAGTATTTTTGCCTCTATGTGTCTCTTCCAAGTGAGGCATCTATCTAAGTGTATATTGAGATATGTAACATCATTTATTTGGGGAATGTTTATGCCATTTAAGCGAATTGCAGGACATGATTACGGTCTTAAAGTAAATGTAACGTGTTTACACTTTTGTTCATTAACTTTAATTCTCCAGTTTTTTACCCAGTTTTCTAGCCATTCTTCGTTTTTGCTGCTCTTTTAGGGCATTTATCCCGGCATAAAAGAGATGTGTAATCCGCAAAGGTAGATGTCTGCACGATTCGGTTTAATGGGATGTCTGCAGTGTACGAGGTATGTTCAAAAAATATCGCGATTTTGTTTTTTTTTTCAAAAATTATTTATTTATTCATGAATATCTATTTTGTCCCCTTCAAAAGAATCCCCATGAGATATTATACACTTGTGCCAACGGTTTTTCCAATCTACGAAGCACTAAAAAAAATCATTTTTTTACCTTGTTCAGCTCCTCCTTGGATGCCGTCTTTATCTCGTAAATCGTAGCGTAACGTCGTCCTTTAATGGGCCTCTTCAGTTTAGGGAACAAGAAAAAGTCACAGGGGGCCAGATCTGAGGAATACGGTGACTGCGGCATCATTAGTGTAATGTTTTTGGCCAAAAAGTCGCGCACAAACAACGAAGTGTGAGCAGGGACGTTATCGTGGTGCAAAAGCCAATTTTTGTTCTTCCACGAATTCGGACGTTTCTGGCGGAATGCTTCGCGCAAATTGCGAATAGCTTGCAGGTAATATCACTTATTGACCGTTCTACCATGTGGCAAGAACTAATGATGAACTACGCAAATGCAATTAATACTACTTGTAGCTTTGTGCCTTACAGTTATACGGCCTTTAAGTTTATCTCTTTATCGATAGATAGCTATGAAGCGTGTAGAATTTCATCGTTGTTGCATTACAATAAATTTTTAATGCCACACAATTGCAACTTTTATTGAAATGCTTAAAAGCAGAAAACAATAAAGTATATAAACAAACGAAGTCAAATGTAACTGATAAAATGAANCCACGCGCTTGGAAAGTGATTTAGTTTTAGAATGGCATTAAAGAGTTCAGAGAGCAATGCTTGTGCAACTCTTGGTAGCTCTATTACCATTTTTGATATAATGAGGTCGTGGCCTGGAGATTTCTTTGGATTCAGTTTCTGTATCGCGTTTACCATTTCTAGGCTTGATATTTTAATTGACACCTGGTTTTACTGGCCGTTAACAGCAAATTCCGGCAGAATAAAATTATTAGTTGCATCATTTGGCTGGAATGCATTACTTAAATGCTTTGCAAAGCAATTTGCCATTTCCTCGTTACTACGTGTCCAGTTACCATTTGGGTCCCTGATTGGCATATTCATTTCTATTGGAGGCTGAAATTTCTTTTGTGCTTTCCAGAGTGAGTATTTGTTGGCAGAATTGTGCGCTAGTTTTTTTATGTATGCCTTGGCATTGTGATCTTCTGCTTGTTTCAGTGCACTTTTCAGCTTCCTCTCTGCTGCTTCCAACCGTAACTTTGCTGCTGGAGAGCGATATTCTTGCCATTCTCTCCGCAAACGGCGCTTTTCTTTACTAATTCTTCTACTTCTGTGTTTGTTAGAATTTTTGGACACGTAAAAGGCTTTTTACTTTTTAGAGTTACTAAGGTTGCCGCAGAAACAAAGACATTATTTAGCTCATTAATGTAGTCATGAATATCGTTTTCACGATTCAATATTGGGTTGATGTTAATATGACTGCTAGTACATTTTTTGTATTTTAGCCAATTGGTTTCTCTGTTTGTTAGTCTTGATTCTTGTGTAACTATCTTCGGGCGCTCGTAAAGTTTTATTAAAATTTGAGAGGGGTCTGAAGACGACTCAGCAACTGTCACAGCTGATACAAGTTGCCTGTCGATATTTCTTGAGACAGCAAAGTCTAGTCAGGTATTTTCTTCCGATCGGTAGGCCAGTATGTTGGTTGACCTGGGTAAACACAATCTAAATTGTTACGTTTGTTTATAATGGTATTGTATAGCTGACGGCCTTTGGGGTTTATTAGACGGGATCCCCAGTATACATGCTTTGCATTGTAGTCTCCTCCTGCTATAAATCTATCACCAAGATTATCAAAAAATTCCTTAAATTTATTTTCTGCGATCTTAAATTTTTGGGGGGCAATAAATGGAAAATTCAGCTTCAGAAATGTACGCTAAAATTGTAAAAGCGCATGGTGATGGTGGAGTGCTGTCAGTCGTGCCCAGGTGTTTCGATGGCATAAAGAGTTTTAGGAGGGGCGTGAAAGCATGGAAGACAGGGCGCAGTGCGGGAGACCAATCGAGGTGCGGAATCGTCCTCAAAGAAGTTCTTCCACCGGGGCAAACCGAAAATCAAGTCTACTATCGCCAAGTATTCGAAAGATTGCGAAGACGGGCCTTCTGAATGACAGTACGCAATGCTAACCAATCGAGTTAATAATTAAATACGAATAGATTATTAAGGACTTGAAAATATAACCTTTCGGTGCCATCGAAAGTCTTTAATAAATAAATTCAATAATTTCGAGGTAGTTTAATTGTATCTTAGCAATTGGCAACGTGACCCATAATAATAGATTTCATTTAAAACCCGTTATTTCTTAATTTCTAAGTAGAAAGTGCCAAATGGAGAACAGATTGTTCCACCAAAATTTGAATCAATTGAATGGTGCAATGTTATAAGTTCGGCTATAAACGCTTAAGCGATGTCTACGGCAGTAAGATAATCGAAGAACTTTTACTGTAGCTGTTTTCTTTTCTTACTTCAGCCGTCTCTCGGCTGGACTGGAGGCAGTAATTCGCATTGTTCTATTTATAACCTCTACATATATATGTACTTATTTATATACATATAATATATACATACGTAGTATTATAAATCCTGCATAAAATATATCCCCATTGATAATTGAAAAATGTTCAAGTGGAATATTTTATGAGTGGCGAATCAAACAATTTTAGATACCATGTGCGATATTGCCATTAGCCATTGACTGTTAATTCGATTAACTATTTCATGTCACCAAAAACTCATACAGCCCAGCATTCCATCATCCCATTGAAAGCCTCTCTTGCGGACTCATTGGATATTGTCATCGTCTCACTGCCTGCACCATACAGCAGAACGAAAATGATGACCGAATTTTAGATCTTGTGGTTTTTCGTCAAGAGAGGACCTGCCAAGGGTTTACCGGAATAAGATTTATTTTTTATTAGTTTTCTACGACTTTGGATGTTTGGCTCGCCAGCGCCCAAACCAGTGATTTCTCGGCATGAAATATATGTATCTATAATATTTCAAAGACCAAACATCAAATTTGAATTCAGTTTTAGTAACTAGTTGCGCAATAGGTTCGAATTAGTACTAACCTGAAGGAAACATATAACAAAATATTTATCTCTTCCTAGGGACATGGTATTAAACTAATTGGCGCTAGCAATGAAACTACTATATCCTCTCTGCTTTTTGTAGTCAGCCATTCAAGGTTTGATACCTGATGCATCCTAAGTATTCTATGTCTGGGTTGTGATAGGGGTGGGCACTCAAAAATGGAAATTGGAAAACTATTTCTTTATTCAATTCTATTTTTCAGCAGCGGTAAAAAATGTTATATGGCATACCCATTCTAAACGTATGTTATCCAAAAGGTCAATGTTTTTTATGCACCTCAGTTTTTTTCATCATACTTAGGCCTTATCTTCTGCCTTATCTTGTAATTGGTTAGAGATTTTTTGAGCTATTTGTTCAAAATGTATATAAAGCTCTCTCTTCCCTTCTTTCATTTCTCTCTTCCTATCTCTTCCTAGGGGACATGACAACTCTTCTGCCTTGTGCCGAAAATGTTCCTGCGGCCGGAGCAAAGATTATGGATAAGTGAAGTTGACCTGCCAGTCGTTTAAAGCCTTCCTTCATTTGTTGATAACGGAATTAAGCTTTAACAACGAGAAGGCCAGCATCCCGTAGTCATTCAATAAAGCCCCACAGGACTTCTATATGATTAGTATTTCCGCTTGGAAGATGCTTGCTGAGTTGTGGATAGTAGCACTTATCTAACTAAAACAGGGATCATAAAATTTTGACAGCCTTTCAGATGGTCTCATAGTAATATTTAGAGAAATTTCAAAATTTCTCTATAGTGTACTATTAAGGGGAGAAACATCTATCAAAAAGTGCGGAAACAAGAAATAATTATATATTCTAACTTCGTATGCCACAGCGTAGGCGATGTGCGGGCGATGTGCGGGCGATTGTTCCACTCCACTGCCACCATATTCTCATTTAATGAGTACTTTAACTATTTGATTGTATCGTTGATACCATTACATTACGGTTATATTTGGGCTCTTATTTTGGTAATATGTACATCCATCATATTAAAGTGGTCATATTATTTTAATAATTTTAAATCAATGATGTTTTGTTGTCAAAAATTCAATCATATCTCAAATCAGCTGTTTTTCACACTCGATAATTTTTACTGGATGGAATTTTCCCAGCACTTTCTCTCCAAACTAAGCGATAAAATTACGCTCTCCCGTTACCAATTTACTTGGTTTTTGGCTGGGTTTTTTGCTCAACGAACACGATTCAATAAAGTTTGGTAAACATTTTTGGTGGCCAACTGATCAACGAACTGAACTATTGATATTACAACGGAAGAAATCTCCGCGTCAGTCCAAGCTAGCAATTTAGCTATTATCCTCGAGTTAAAAAATTTGTTTTGCACTATCGAAACATTTTTCCAGTATATCAAATGGTTGCAGGTAATAAATACCACGCCCCATAGAAAGAGTAGCAATAATCTGGATTGCAACTAGTTTCTGGTACAACCATTTGTTTTATACGTTTTTATCTTAGTAGTAAAGTGATTTTCATAATTATTTCTTTTTATTTAGGACGATGATACCCTGTTCCCTTAAGCTTACCACCAAAGCACAAGCCTTCTTTGTTTAAAGAAATTCGACACGAGTTGTTGTATGTGTGTATGTGCACTGTGAAATATAAAATTTATTTGTTGGAAAAACATTAAAACACATGTTTTCTTTAATTTATAAACACGCCGATTTTTTTTATCTGATTCTCCATTTGGATTGTCACAGGAGGTAAAAAGGTAAGGTAATTACTTTCACTTAATGATCAAAAGTGTGTCACTCATTGTTGCACAATATTTACTCTATATGTCTGCATATATGCATGCGAACATACATACATACATGTATGTATCTAATATTGAATCAATAAATATCGCCTAAATATAGTATATTTAAATAAATGGAAATTATTTCAGCACGCAATTATAAACATAGCTTTGGTATGTATAACAAATATATGTATGTAAGTATTTACATATTATACGAGTACAATACATATACGAGCAATTATGTAAACGACAACTGTCTGCGATGTTCATAACGCTTAAGGCTTAACTTATTTCGGTTGGCTTTCCAAAAAGTAACCTTGTACATTTGCATGCATGTAAATAACAAAAGGTTGAAAAATAGTAACTCGTTTTTATTAAATTTTTCATTTGTCTAAAGGAATTATAAACCTGAAAATGTTTTTAAATATTGCAAAAAATATGTTTTTCTCCGAGTTTTGTTATAAAAAGCGAAATTTTGTGTGGAAAACTCACTCATTAATTTCGTGTTGTAATAACTCGTACTTAAATGTTGGATTTTTGAGAAAGCACTGTTGGTTTAACAACAATCCGAATGAAACTAAAGTACAACTTTAAATATACATATTAAGGCCGTGTTATTATGTATGTATGTAAAACTATTTTGGTATAGTTTTTGTTTGCACGCATACATTTAACACATTCATACATACATATGTGAATGTATACATATATTATATGTACGTGTATGTATGTATGTTACGAAATTCAAAAACACCTGAAGAAGTGATTTTTCTTACACAAATGCATTTTATATTGTATATATCTCATATACAATGTGTTATGTATTGTATTCATGTATGTATTTACAGAAAAAAGATGTAACCTATACAATGTATAGTATATTCACTCTTTACCCACACATATTCGTAAATATTGGAATACCATTGATCGGTAATAAGCGGCACATATACGTAAATATGTGAAGACAAATCCAGTTATATGATAAAAAAAGGCGGTAGATTAAAAAGTAAAATAAAAACTTTAAAAATGTCAAGATTTATATATGTAAGTATTTATATACATACGTACATATGTAAGTATAAAATATTTCTCCTTGAATCAAAGCCAATAAACATTCATTCTTATTTTTCAATCAGAAAAATAATAAACTTTAACCCTCATTTATACCGCTAAAAAAGAAACAGTAGGAGAAGGTCGTATTACCGTTTTTTAAAGAAGAACGTAAACTCGTTCCATAGTTAAAATAGGAGAATTATAAAAAGTCACTTAACTATCAAGAAGGTGAAATCGCGACGGGAGGTATTGACCTAACGACTGATCGGATGAAAGCTTGGCTGACAATTGAAAGCCAAGTAATAAGTGGAAAGTCTCGTGCATCTTAAGATCTGGTAGACTCACCAATTCACTATACTCAAAGCCCCGGAAAAGTCGCGACACAAACCACGAAAGCCTCTTTGCGCAGATGTGCGACTACGTTTCAAGATGTAAGCTAAAACCAATGCTGGAACTTTCGATAACAAACTAGGTTCCTCAAAATGTGGCTATCTGCATAGTATAATGGCAGGACGCAATTCTATCCACTCTGTATTTACGTAGTTTATTTAAAATCTATTTATAAAAGTTAATACTTAAACAAAAGTGAGCAATCCGCTAATTCGGATACGGGGAAATCACTATTGCGTTCTCTTGGTGTCTCTCTTAGTGCTATGAAGATCGGTGGCAACTTCTCATTTAGCTTAACAGCTCATCGCTCCGGTATTCTTCGTTGTCAATGCGTTAACAATTTATAAGTTAAATAAGAGCGTATATTTCGCCTTAACATCGTACACTTCCAGACCAGCAGTTGTTGAGGTCAACGTTATCGTATTGCTCCAGCACACGATACAGGGACACAACGTCTGAAAGTTCGTTTGGTACTGAGCAGATCGAAGAGGTCGTCCCCTACTTTGACTAAGCTTCTGGTATTTCCCAGCGTCAGTTTACATCAAGTCAGTTTTTTTTCCATTCTGCCGAAAGCAACCTAATCAATAAGCTCACTGGTATTTTTCAAGATTTGGAACAATGCGCTACACAAGGAGGCTTATTCCACGACAATTGGTGCAGATTGTGTGGTCACGTAAGTTCTAATCAATGGCCATACCTTCGCCCGAACACATTTTGCTAATACGCTGACGCTTTCAACTTGTCAATTATTCGCCCTCATATTTGAGTGGCTCAGCCTTTAGGCTCGTGCCGTTCTTATTGATTGAAAATGGAAAGTTATAAAAAATTTGAAACTTAAAATTCAGTAACATAAAATCTGAAAAATTTAAAATAACAAGATATAAATATTAAAATAGATTCCTACACTCGTATAGTCGAGTAATAGAATTTTTCTCTCAGAGCATGGAATGCGAGTAGAAAGTCTTTCCGCTGTTTGTTGATGAGCGTTAATAGCTGCACTGGATGGTGTCAAGTCAGGATAGTAGCTTAAGCGATTTTCGGCCGACCTCCTCCTCCAATTTGTGGGTTTGCGTCTTGATATATTTCAATAAAAATGGAGGGACCTGCAGTTTATACGGGGCCGCCATACAATGGCTGATGGTTTTTATGAGGAGCTTTATTTCATGACAGGAATACACTCGAAGGAGTTAACATTCCCTGCCGAGGGGTGACCGCAATTAGAAAATTTATTATTTAAATTAATTTTCTATAACTTTTTGGATGTTAGTACGATACCAGGACTTGAACCCGAGCCTTCCGAAAGGCAGTACGCAATGCTTACCACTCGGCTAAAGCAGCCGTCGATATTAGACATGTCTTCCGTCTTTCATAACATAATGAATTTTTTTCGTAGTTTTCGATTAGGTGACAGTAATGTAGCTTCACAGCTAACTCGCTACGGTAATGTGATGACGATAGGTTTTTACTACTACTAGACTTAAAATTCAAAAATGGATAAGTGAAATAATTAAGCTACGGTCTGGAAACTTGTCAATAACTTTCCACACAGACCGTTCTCTTTTTTCTTTTAGTTCAAGTCCAACAGTTCAGCAGCAGGATCGTAACAATACATTTGTTTTTCTTAGTACGATCGCCGTGCTCATCTGAGACCGTTGTTCTCCTACAGTCTACCTCAGCTTTGCAATTATTGTTTATCACATCAGGCTACGCGAACTTTACCATGTCGGAAGCAAGAATTTACCCCGTTGCCACCTAAACTGTGCTATTTAGCTTTCCAATGCTTTAAGTGAATACGAATTTTCAACACAGTAAATCTAATCATATATATTAATTTATTAAAAAAATTATACAAACATCATATTTTGCTCTTAGTCTGGATTACCTTACAGTCATATTTCTGGCTTTGTCCTATAGTGAAAAGAGAAATAAAAGTATTTATCAAGCCTCTACTCCTTTTGGAGTTGTTGAGTATATGTGTTTTAGGTATAAATTAAAATATGTTGTGTAATTCATAGGTGACATAATGCGATGTTTTCTAAGCGGCAGCCTCGGTGACAAGGATAGCATACTAGCCCATTGTCCTTCACATAGATCATCGTATCGAAGTAATCCAACTTCATGCCCACCAAGATCGCCAGGTCCGCGGCACATCGCCATTTGACCATCCCACAATTTTTCCGAGAATTCGCGTATCCATCGGGCTAAATACAAAACTCGGCAGTCACAATGCCATGGATTTTTGTCTAATTTCACTGCCTTTAACTTTTTTAATCCCCGTAAAGCTCCATTTTGCAAATATTGCAATTTATTTGAATCAATGCGCCTACAATAAACAATAAAGAGAATTACTTTATAAATAAACAATAATGAAAAGGATAAAAATCATCAGAAAAATATTTCTACGTTTTTTATTACAAATGTTGTATGTCCTGAACTCCATGTAAATCGAATTATAAGCACGATTTTTTCAAATAGGTAAGTCCCTGATCTACTTCCGAGAAGTTTTTGTAGAAACCTTTCCGGAAAACTTAACATACACTTTAAGAATGATGTCCAAACCATGTCATATAAATTTAGTGGAAGTTTATGATGCCTTCTTAAGTTATAAAGTAGCAAATCAGCCAATAACCAAATTTTATACGTTAATTAGGATGGAAGGTTACCCACCACTTAAACAGATTTCAGGCAAACTTTTTATAAGTCAACACTATGATAATACGCTAACTTTGGTTGAGTTCGGGGAAACTTTTCTCGAATTATAAGGCAACACAAAGGCGTGCACTGATTTCTATTACTATAGAGATCAGGTAATGGAATGGTCTTTTCCATCAGACAATCATATTTCGGTCCGCAGCGAAGTCGATCAGCCTCAACCAATTGGGGATGTTTCGTTGTGAAGGCCAAATTTTTCAACAGTCGCAACAAAGATACCTTCTTTGCCCACCCTAGCATTAACATCGCCAAACAGGATTTTCACATCGTGTCGAGAGCATGCTCGAAAGCATGTTATAGGCGCTTATGATAGGCGTCTTTGGCCAAATCATACTTCTATTCCGTAGTTTCGTGGGCGTAAATCAACGAAATGTTAAAAAATTGTACTTTGATGCGGATTGTGGTGAGACGCTCATCCACCGGGGTGAATTCCAGTACTCGATGACGGTGTCTCTCTCCCACAACAAGTCCAACAATAAATTTGCGCTCCTTTCTATGGCCACTGTAGTAAATCTCACAAGAACCTACTCGCTTTCGTCCTTGTTCCGTCCAACGCACTTCTTGCACGGCGGTGATGTCAGCTTTTATTCTTACAAGGCGATCAACCAGCTGGGCAGCGGCACCTTCCCAATCAAGGAACCGGACATTCCAGATGCATGCCCGAGATGCATGTTGCGAAATATCAGTCAAACCTTAAAACTCAGTGACACTTCAAAATTATTATTTATTGGTCCAGCAATTATGTGATTTGTGTTAAATATGTACTGTTTTGCCTTTCAAAGAGAGCAACTTGCCACTATTGGCAAACGCTTAAGACAAGCGTATTCCTTCTACAAATCCCGTCCTGTTGGCCAAAGCTGAGCGTTTCTGGAAGATTGCTTCCTTCAGACAGTCTAACTACTGCCAATACAGGTTCAAATTAAGAATTTGGCCGTAAGGAAGCAGTTTATAATGAATGATTCCTTGCCAATTCCACCTAAAACACAACTGCTTTGCTGCAACAGATCCACTTTTCACCACCAGTTACCATCCGCAGCTCATTTGGCACCCATATACATATCTATGCTTTTATGTGTATCCAACATTTTCCAAACTGTTTTTTGTGCAATATTTAGATTCGGGGCAATCGAAAAAGTTACCACATGACGGTCAGAATTGACGATTCGGGGCAATCGAAAAACGGTCAGAATCGACGATTTCTCTTACTTTATCGACATTTTCTACAATTTTCCCTCCACACCGTGCAGGCTCTAAACCACCATAACGAAATCGACAAAACCCAAATTTAACATAATTGACTCTTACAGTAACAGGACCATAAATACTATTCACTTATTCGCCTTACTCAGGATTTCGGCTTTCTCGACGAAAAATTGTAGAATACAGCATATTTTTTTTGCTAGTACCAATCTTTGACTCGAGCTCAAACAATACTGAGTTAAGTTATCAACAGTTCTCACATTATCATTTTTAGCACAAAATATTATTTATGTAACGCCATCTAGCGAAATGCATCGTGGGATACAGACTAATAAAGCCATCTATTGCGAAAATAGCGAAATATTTTTTACAAGACCTAATATTGCTATTTTTGGTATTTGCTTACAAAGGTTCTTCGTTTTGGTTCGTTTTTCGCTTGAATATTAAGCAAACAAACTATTTTACAATATCAAAGCTGATACCAGTGCTGTAAGGCAAATGCAAATTTAAAGCCAACTTAGGATAAGCCAACCGCCACTGACCATTTTTTTATTGGTTTGGTGCAAGAAAAAACGGTTGGAGCAAAATTCTTTGTTAACGATATGCAAATGGATACAAAGTATGAGAATTTAAACTTATCTCTTTAGATAAATGATAATGATGAAAATATAAATTAAAAAGGGCTAAAAAGCGCTATATATGTCTATACATATGTATTATAAATATTTCCAAAAACTCTAGACCAGCTTCTGTTGTGAGTAAAATAATAAAATGTAATTATCCCGGGTAGCTCTGCTGTGCTCATTGCATGGTTTGTAGCCAGGAATCTGGGCGCTTCCATAGCCGATATCCTTTAATACTACTATTTTTTAGGTGCAAGCGGTCTAAAAAATTTAGTTAGTGCCCTCTAAAAATCCCGCCATGCTACTTAATGAGCTAACGTTTCAAGAACGATGCTGTCAGGAGGGATGCCCACAGCTCTTCATCTCGCGCAACGATTTCTCCATCAGTATTTAAATGCCGAAATGACAAATCGGATGCTTACATTATATTATATATTCTCTCTTCTCACACCTTTGCATTTTCAGAAAACAGTCTATGCAGAATTTTATAATTTCTGGTTGCATTTTCTTCGCCATCCGGAGGTGGCTCTTACTATTTAATTGTACCAGTTGTATCTCGCAAAGCTGTGTTGAATATTTTTAGATTTAGTCAAGCGGCTTTCACCTTTTGTGAATAAATTGTTCTTAAATGAAAATAATTAAGAGAACTACTAAAATATCAGTAAAAATTAATCGATAATTTATTATTACCACAGCTCGGGTGTACTCGGGATCATTATAGATATTTCCCACTTCAATATTTTTTAGAATTAAGCAAATATTTTTTTATTATTCTTGTAGGATATGCATTCATTTTTTTTGCCTTTTTCAAATTATTTGTACCGAAACTACTAGAAAATAAGATTGTAAAATATAACAGACGAACTGTTCAACTCCAATCTCTATCAATTTGTACATACATACATACATTTGTAGTCGGGAAAGATAGGCCAACAAAATAACTTGCTTATGCGTTAGTGTGGTCCAAAATCGTTTGAGTGCATCGGTGAACCCAAAGGGCCGTTCTTGAAAAGTTGGCTGGAAATCGGCTTTGGCAAAGATATGACCTCACTAACTTACCAAATTAAATTTGAAAAATATACATAGGAGCTCCAAATTTATGAGAAATTATCCAGATTTGTACAATAATTATTATAGTTAGCAAGCATATGCATACTTACAACTTTTCCAGATTTTTCATGGGAGTGAAAACATCATCTTCAAAATTTTTGAGTATATTGTTGTTCAGCATTATGTGTTTTAAATTAATCAGTCCTTGGAAGTCATTATTTTCAATCGTAGTTAGATTGTTTGAAAACAAATTCAAGCTTATTAATAAATTTAAATTGGTAAATAGTCCGTCTGGTATTTCACAGAGAGAGTTCTGTCCCAATAAAAGCTCGCGAAGATTTGTTAGTGTATAAAAAGCCAATCCATTAATCTGTTGAAATAAGATTATTTAATTTGTAGTTTTCAAATCGTAAAGTGATAAAGTGAATTAACTTAAATTATATATATCTATATATATTTTTAACTGATACAAACTTCCTATTTACATCCAAGTTACATAGTCGAGTGGTTAACATTGCGTAGGACAGGTATCGGGTCCTGGTCCGACCAAATCAAAAAAAATATTTAGTAATATAATATAATTTAATTTGAAGGTTAAATTAACTTTTCTAATTTCGGTCGTCCTAGGCACGGAGTGTCAAGTCCTCTGAGTTTATTTCTGACATGAAATCAATCCTCTTAAACGCCCATCAGCCGTTCGAAATCGGCTTAGTATAAACTGTTGGGAAAACATCAAGTTGACATAAGCCAAAAACTTTGTGTAAGCTAGTAGAAATTATTATGGCTTCCTCTATTGGATACGAATCCAATCAGGCGGAAACACAGAAAACCTGCTTCCCCTTGCTTGTTTCTTCGATTTTGCATAACTACTCGATTATTCGAAGTACTAGGATGCATAAATTAAGAAAGACACTTCGGGGTCTTAAAACTGCCGAAACAAAACAAAACTCAGGAAACAAATAGAAACTATCATATACTGTCGGATCTCCTTCGTACTCGACTGAAACTTGCTTAAGCTCCGCCAACTGCGGAAGATAAATTTACTTTAATGTGTTTTAGACTTATTGTTATTAAAAAGCTTTCGACGCTTTTTTTGGATATTGTAAGAAATCTTTTATTAGAATCAGTGCTCAAGTTTGTTTATATTTTGTTGATTATTGCTGCACGAGTATGTTGTAAATTTGATTACCTTTGAAATTCGATTGTTACTCAAGTCTAATGTGACCAGTAGTGTCATAGATTGAAATAAATTCTTGGATACAAATGAAATGCGGTTGTTATGTAGAATCAAACTTCTTAAGTTTTCCACGTCCGAAAAGAGCTCTTCGGGAATGTTGGCTGCAAAAAAAAAGAACTCTGATATTAATTTGAACACTTCGAATATAAAGCATTTTAGCAAAATTTACATGATAAAGAACATAAAAAAGTAAAAAAAGCAGTAAAAGATCTAAAAATTTGGGAAGTATGAAATGATGATTTTGATGAAGGTTTTAAGCTAATAAAAACAGTTATTTAATTGTTGTGATGGATACGCTTAATTCAGCAGCAAACAGAGACTACTTACATATAAAATTATATGAGAAGTCGATCATTTTTAAATTTGTCAAATTTTTCAAACTTCCAACTTGCAACTCCGATATTTGGTTTCGGGACATATCCAATTCTTCTAACCATAATTGTTCTCTGAGCAGTCCGGATGAAAAACGTTTTATTCTATTATGACTTAAATTAATAATAATTAAACGTTGATTATGACAAAATATATTTCTTGGCAATTCTGATATTAAATTTTTGCTAATATCTATCAAATTGAGATTGCGAAGTTTCCAAAATATAATCTCGTCCAAGTTTTCCAGTTGATTATTTTGAAGACGCCTTAGAGCATAAGTGAAACAAAAATTGTGAGATTAATTTATTGTGTAAGTATATACATACATAGTACATAATAAACAACTTACAATTGAATAAGACTATCTAAATCTTGTAGAAGATTTGCCGGTATAAAGTTGAGAATATTATTAGATAAATCAAGTTCTTCCAACAATGTTAAGCCGCGAAAAGTATCTTTATGAAATGTTGAGAAAAAATTTCTTGACAGGTCACTAAAATTAAATTAAAAGCCATATTAATTTAAGGGTAAAATATGCGCTGTCGGAAGGTTAAATCTAGCTAAAAAATAAAGTTTTTCAAACATTTTTATTGAAAAAACTTTTAGCTCTATTATTAAATATTTTAAACATTCGTACACATATTTTGGCACCTTTGAAGAGTAGTTGGAAATTTTTCATTTATAAAAATAACATTTTTTGAAGCAGCTACCGCAGATCTCTATTGTATAGTCTTGTGATTAATCGAAGGAATAAGCCAAAAAAAAAAATTGGACAAAATGGCGGTTTCTCAAAAAAAAAGAAATATTTTTTCTCCATAATTTTGGTCTCGAATTGTGCATTAAAAAAAATTTTCATCGGTAATGGAAAAGCTTCGATTATGAACTAGAAAATATTGTTCAGAAGCTTGAGAAGCTTGTGTAAAAATTTGCTTTTAATTGGTTTAGCTGTTTCGAAAAATCTTGGTAACCGGCTTGAAAAACATACTTTTTACAACCTAGGGGTTGTAAAACCATTCTTTCGGGAACGGTACGGGACGGGAATGATAAGCGACTTATAGAGTTTGACTTTTGTTCAGTCCAAAGTAGCATGTGCCCATCTTCGTTGGGTTTCCAGACTTAATTTTTTTTGTGATATCAATACTGGTTCCAAGAAAGACGAAAATATCTACGACCTCAAAGTTATGACAGTCAAAGGTGACGTGGGAGCTGGGTTGCGCATGCTATGACTATTTGTTTTATGACGAATAGTGACACGACAAGGAATAACCTTGTTTGAATTTTCTATTGGTATCGAATTTCTCGGGTTGGTCCTTCCCGATGCTGACACTGTTTTTGAGTTACTGAACGTCAGTTGACACATCCATCTAAGTTTTTCGAGGATACGGAATTCAGACATAACGGTATAGAGGTCTAAAGCGCCACTAACGGTGAGCTTTAATCCTTGCGATATTAAGAAAGCTCCACGGTAATTGCCCTTTTCGGACTGTGCTTAGAAACCTTAGGCTTCAATCATCGGGCAGAAAAGCTGATAAATGCACCTTCTAAGTTCTCCAACGCCATATTTGAATAGCTTCATGGTAATGAAAAGAAAGTTAAGTACACCAACTTTCATTGGCATTCAGCAGGAAGGAGATATGATTTTAACGTTGCATCCTGCTTTCTTTTCTTCTCTTCCTTAGGCGATATGTTAGTAAAACAGTGAAACTACAACGAATTAGGGATAATAACAGTATATTTAGTAGGTCCACCCCTCGATTTAATAACGGCATTCTCTTAGGCATGCTGCGTACAAGCTTTGCACATTCGTCCGCACTTATAGCGGATGATTTTATACTGAGTTGCTCAATGGGAATAAGATCTGGAGACAATCTAACAAAACAATGTTGTTATCTCTAAACAAATGCGTCGTAGTCGCTGATTTGTGACAAGGAGCATCTAAATTTGTATCGCCGAAAATGCGCGATAACGAAGGCAGAAGAACAGCATCTAATGCATTTATGTACTTTTGACCGTCCATGCGACCTTCGCAAACGAATATTTCGCCGACACCATCAGTAAACATGCAGCCCCAGATCATAATGTTGCCTACTCCATGCTTAACAATGGGTACGACGCGATCACGAACGTCACACCAGATGTTCCAAATATCTGTAGGAAAGATTTGTAATATGTCTTCAAAATTGCTCTAGGGTAAGTAACTATCGCTGTTAATGATTTAAGACGATCATAACTAAGTTTACCTCAAATCCAATCTAATGTTGGTATCGGCGAGCCCAGTCCAAACGATTTTTTTCTATTCTTTTCTGAGAGCCACGGCTTTTTCCGGGCTTTACATCCTTATAAACCTGCTTCCAGAAGTCTTCTTCTAGCTGTTCGAGCACTATCTGGTTTACTAAATTCATCCGAAAGGGCAGCAGCAAGGGCAGAAGAAGATTTTTCGCGGTCCTTGAGAGACTCGCTTATAAGTATTATGTCTTCTCGTTTACTGGTTAGACGCTTTCTACCACTTTTTGATTTATTATTGTGGCATTTCCACCTGATAACACATTGGACCGCGTACCTCGAACATTCCACCAAATTGAGAATCTCAACCTGAGACTTCCCTTCTTCACTTAGAACTTGAATTCCAACTCTATCATCGTAACTAATTTCACTTTTTTTTAGTCATCTCGGTACATATGAACTGTTTTTATGCAATAAGGTTGGTAACTTTTATACTAAATGTAATTTACACTTTCACTTTCAAATTTTAAATGCGAAAATATTTTATGAATTTCATAAAAATGACAACTTTGGTACTAACTTTGGCGGTAACTTTGATAGCCACATTTGAGAATACTTGTAGTTTAGTGGGGTGCCTAAAACTTTTGGCCAAGGCTGTACATATGTCATGCAAACTCAATTTTAAGCTATTTCTATAACTAATTTTCGAATACTCACATAGACACCATGTTCATAGGTATTATTTGAGAAACGGGAAGTGATATGAAGTTAGTATTCCAGCAAGTAAATCTTTTTGTTTCAGGGCAACAGCGACATACTCCCGACGTGCATCGGTTCCACTCATTTTCGCTAGCTGAAGATAGCCGCCACACGGGCTGCTCAATAGATCTCAAGCGGTTCTCAATTTGGCGCACTCGTTTTACTAAAGCAAGATCCAATGGTGATATTGAACCGTCCGGCAAACCTATTTTTTCATAAAACCGTTTTCGTTAGCGGTATATATAAAGCTCTTCTCATTATGAAAATTATCGAGAGACGAAAATTTTAGAACTTCACACGTGTTTAATATGCAATTTGTGCTGGGAATTATAGAACAAAACTTACTATCACTTATGTCAGCTATTTTACTAATTATTCGCTCTGGTAAAGCATATGTACACTTGAATATTTTAAATAAGCAAAAAACAGAGGCGAAGAATTTGAAAATATCCATCCTAGTTGTCTTCTTAGCAAAACCTGTTTAGTATGAATGCGCCTACAGATGCGGCTGCATATATGTACATATACATAGGTATGTAGGTACATAGTAATTGTGTAATTAATTTTGAGCTGGACAATTGAATTAATTGAAATACTTACAATCAATTTAATGTACGAGTGCACTGCCAAATGCAAGGTCCAATCTACGAAAATCCAGATTGCTCGAAGGCATCATATTCTGTTGGACAACCTGTTGTTGGGTGCATACGAATCATCAGTTTATTTGTACATTTGCACCACCGTAAAAATTATATCACGGGACTCACGGCTCTGCATGGCGTTTGGGACAAACCAGATGAAAAATATCACTCATTTCTCACTTATTTTACTGGCGTAGACACCGCTTACTCGATTATAGCCGAGTTAACAGCAATGCGCCATTCATTTCTTTTTTTTTTTTTTGTTGTTTGGCGCCAATTGGAAATACGAAATACCGTCAGGTCCTTCTCCATTTGGTCTTTCCAACGGAGTTGAGGTCTTCTCTTCCTCTGCTTCCACCGGGGGGTACTGCATCAAAAACTACTGGAGTATTCTTATCCATCCGGACTAAATAACCTATCTATATCTCGTACAACTCCCCGTTCCCAACTCTCAAAGAACCATAAATAAATATTACCTAAAATCTTTTTCTCGAAAACTCCTAACACTGACTCATCACCATATAGCAGGACAGAAACGATGAGGTCTTTACTTTTCAATTGCTTAGTCAGACCAAAAGTGCACTTGCTGACAAGAATGATTCTGTGTTTGATTTCAAGGCTGACATCATTATTGGTGCTGATGCTGTTCTAGATAGACGAAATCATCGACAACCTTGAAGTTATAAGTGTCAACATTGACGTGAGAGCCAAGCCGATAATGCGATGACTGTTTGTTTGATGACAGGAGATAGAATAGCAGCATCATCCGCATAATTCGATGTCATTACTTTGTCACTTGTAGGAATGGCTGCGGTGAAAAAATATACAATATTGGTCCAAGAACAAGAACACACTTCTGTTATGTTATAATGTACTTTTATAGTCAATCCTCTGTTGGTTAAATAGGATTCAAGGATATTGTGCAATGAGTTATTGAGCATGAGACCATCATACCACACTATGTCAAATGCCTACGCCACATCAGGAAAAAACGGCCGAGCAATACTCTCTGAATTCGAAAGTTTTTCTTATCTTATTTGTTATACGTGTGTTCAATAGTGCTGTGTTTTTTCCGAAAACCAAATTAATGTGTAGGAAACGTATCGCTTTCATGGCTAAAAGGAGTAATATTTGATAGCAGTACTTTTTCGAAAAGTTTGGATAGCCCAGAAAACAGACTGATTGATCTATATCACGACGGCCGGGTTACGTCTTTACCTGGCTTAGCTAACATAATTATCTTCCGAATTTTTCCATATTTGCGGATAACATCCTAGCTTGCCTGTGCTTGGCAATTCTTTTGGTATTTTCGTGAGATGTGATCGTCTCCTGTTTTTTTCTTTTTTTTTGGATTAAAGGCCGTAATAATATTTTTTAGTTGAGACACAGATGTTTCGAGTAACAGTGTATCTTGGAGCAGTGTGGTTAGGTGACAAAAGTGAAATATCTGTAGCAGTATTAGATAGAAATACCGAACTGAGGTGCTCTGCAAAACAAGTCGCCTTTTTTTCATTCGTTCTGGCCCATGAACGCTCAACGCTGCTTCAGTTGTTGTTGTTGTTGTTGTTTCAACCGTTCTGGCGAATGAACCGTCGTCGATTCCAGCGAAACTTGTTATTAGTTTTTTTTTGTCAACTGACCTAAGGGTAAGATACAAGCTTCTATAATTTCCTTTGAAAGCACAAGAATTTTATGGATAATAGCAGGGTCTAGTTACATGACCCAGGACATAGTCTCCAGATGTGTCTGTAACTATAATACTTTCCTCTGGGGGATAACATTGTTCTGCCATTTATTGTACAGTTTGTTACTGAAAACATTTACAAACCTTTTCAGCGCTCTTAGAGTCCTCAGAACCTGTCACGTTGTATGCTTCCAGCCTCTTTTTAGCTATATACCTGTTTTTATCATTTTATCCCCATCAAGCCACATTTCAAAGATCGCTGTTTCATATTATAAAGGTATACGCGGAAAATGATACAATTTATCAAGTAGGGCAAATAAGGGGATATGATTTTCACTTATTTACGATAAAAGTGCTTTCAACATGAAACAAAAGTAAAAAAAAAATAACATAAGGCTCCATACGGAATGCACAAGGGTTGCTCACGTTTCCAGAGTCCTCGAGTAGTATAGCCCCACAACTTGCTATTCAGTGTATGTTTACATTAAGCTTATTTGTAGTTCAGCTCAAGCACTCGGCATTAGAGAAATAAACAAACCAATAATAACTTCGTGACACATATTGGGATTAAAGCAGAAATTCTTTTTCGTATTTTTGTCCCGCCCACTTTAATTCTCTCTTATATGTATTTTATTAATTTCATAGCAGTTCACGACTTCTGTTTATACTTACAAACAACAACATTTAAATAATACAGTAATGGTTATGATATCATGTAGTTGGTAATTTAATTTTGTAATATTTTTCTTCATATAACAGTTAAGCCAATCTTACAAACATGCTACATGGTGAACTTAGATTTGGTATGCATTGATTCGTAGTAAGCCTTTGTACTTTCAAATACAATCAACAACAAGAACAGAACGACAAAAAGTGCATTTAACGCTTTCATTTTCAGCAAAGAGTTCTTGTAGTTGATTCTCGTCATCTAACGCATAATATTGGCATCGCGGACAATGACGGGTTGTGATGATGGGGAGCTGCAAAGAAAATGAAAAATTATTTATAAATAAATTAATTATATATATTTATATATCAATATATGTATATTGAACCTATTGTTGTATGCCAATCGGTATCTTTTTTTCACATGGTAAAATGAAGTAGACAAAAATATACCATGGTGAGAAAAGTTTCACATTTTGACGTGGCAAAATAAAAACTCGTCAGAAAGCCGCATATATTTTTGTGCATTGGTAAGAAAAATGAATAGAATGCAAAGAAAAACTTTTCTACCAATAAAACAGAAGCAATGAATTCAATTAATGATTTGTTGTTAAGTCAAAGTGTCAAAATAATGATGTCCGGTGATAAAGGAAAATTCGGTCATATTTAAGAATTTCTTGCAGCATTCATTTGTTGTTGGTACTGTTATCTTGTATAACATGTACTCAAAAATTTGATTATTTTTTAATTTCTGACGAGTGTAAGAATTTATAACTTCAAATGAATCTTTTTTCGCCATTAATATGATTATAAGCCATTTATAACTTTTTTGGCATCGAAAAATGAATGAAATAAATTAGGAAACTTCACTTAGAATTGTAAGTTATATACTTATTGCCTGATTTTCTAGGAAAGAAATATTTGTGCTCCAAATGAATAAAAAAAATTCTGAGAACTAAAATATTGGACAAAACCCGTTTTTAGACAAACTTTGACGAATTTCCATTTTTTTTTAATTTGAAGCCAGCACAATAATGTCTTAAGAACGGTAAGTAAACTATTAACGTAATGCTAATACCAAATAAATAATTTTTTGCTCTACATAGCGGTCAGTTAAATAAACTATTAAAGATTATTATTTAAATTACATACCTGTACGTGTGATACAGAACACCGTTTCACTTTATGATTTTTGTCACACATCATAGTGTCAGCGTTTGTAAAATTATTGCAATATAGACATTTTTCAGTCCAGACAGCATTAATGTCACCAACATTAGCACTGAAAGACCTTGTAAAAAATTTCAAATATGTTTCTATTGCCTGTTTTACAAAAATTTGTTCCGTAGAAAGTGTTTTCAAGTCATGAAGTAAAAGTTTATACTTATTTCTAAAGACATGTATTGTCTCCTGTAGAAATATGCTCAGGCTGGCAGATTCCAAAGACAGTAAAAATTTTAGCCGGCATATTATATGAACGATTTGTATGGCAGTTAAAAGGAATTTATATGCCAATATCGTAGATTCCTTGTTTCTCTTTTGACTAGATCTAAAAATAAAATATCACGTCGTATTGAGCCAACATTTAGTTAAAATATTTTTCTATATAATCATATTTTTGTATTTAATATCATATCATATTAAGGAATATTAATCTAAAAATACACCTATGTATATACATATAATTTCAAGCAAATTTATACCGGGAAAATCCTACCTTTGGCAGCTTAAAATATTTGAAGCAAGCACAAATTTGGTCTGCATCTGAAGTAAAAATTTATCATCCAAAATATCCGGTAGCGTAAGGTTAATTATATCCGAAAATGAATTATAATTCTCAAGATTGCTGAATATATCAAAACTGGTATTCAAGATATTGTCTTGACTTGGATTTATTTCACTTAAGTAAGAGTTTATCAGTTCACTTTGAGCGTCAACATCTTCTAACTTTGAAATATTAACAAATATACTGCTGTGCATGTATTTACATTGTTGTGTATATTCGCTTACACGCATTAAAATAAATGTGAAGTGACGCGTTTTTAATGAATGCACCACTCCAAGAATGCCTAGGTTAGGAGCGTTTAGTTCATGTTCAATAACTTGTTCACTTATTTTAAGCTCATTGTGCAGTGCAGAAAGTACACGGAAATAATGTATAGAATTCGTAATAGTGGTGACGATAAATTCCGTAGAGGACGTGAATTGAACTCCTAGTCAAATAAATAAATAAATATCCATACATATAAATATTATTAGATTTCCTTTGATTGTAAAAACATCATATTTACCAGTTATTTTTATTCCACCAACATAAATCGAGTTACTGCATATAATATTGCCCTCAGTACTCAGCGCATAGACAAATATGTGAGCAGCTTTATTAAAAACGACAAGGTTAATGCTTGGGGAAAATTTCTTTATTATAATTTTGTTGCAGGTCAAGTTGTCTATCTTTGTCCATAAAAAGGCCAACGGTGTTATTACAGGATTACTGTTGTCACTGCTATTCAAAGAAAAAAGCTGCAAAATACCATCCCTGCTACTAATTAGCATGTAATGATCAAATAAGTTTATATCACATATATTATTTAGTTCCATTTTTGTTATGAAAATCTCTTTCAAACTTGCATTAAATGCATCTGTGAACAGAAGTGTTGCTACATATCCGATTTTAAATGATATAAATAATATTTGTTTCGTTCGATGCCAAACAGCGGAAGTGATATAACACTCTGTAAAAAGCTTACTGAGGATTTCTTCACTGCAACCAATAATTTTAGACGATGATAGCCTGTCTAAAAAACAATCATTTACGTTGAAGATTGCACTCCAGTGGCGGCTTGGCACATTCTTTTTCTTTAATATTTGACATAACCCAGTGTCAGTTACAATAACAGCAAGCGATTGCTCCCTACATAAACTCCAAGCGGCTTGTTTAAACTGCAATGCGTTTACTTTTGGTGGTTCGCAGGAAAAATGACCAACATATTTTGGATTCAACACTCTTTGTTGCTGCTCGAGTAAGCTACTGCTATTATAGGATCGACTTAAATCAGATTTACTTGAAGTACCTAAATTATAATTTTGAGGAATTTCTACATAATACAAATTATAGGGCAAATCGGTTAAATCTGTCGATGAATTCAAAAGATCCAATATAATAAGCTGATTATTTGAGCATTGTAAAGCTATTTGGTCTTCGGTGGATACTATTCCAATATCGGCACATATCTCTTGTTTCAGTTCTGATAAATGTAATTTTTTAAGTTTCAATTGTGACATGGCGTATCCTCGATTTCTGAAATAGAATATAAAAAAAAGTCAAGTCATTTTAATAAATAGACTCATTTAATATATTGGTTGAAATTTTAATACATATTTTTAGTTCCTGGCAAATATAGTAAAGAACATATACATATGTATGTATGTATACATGAAAATAAATTCAAGATGTTATATGCTCTTTATAATTGTCCAAACGATTCTCATCTACCATTTGTGATATTCGTTGTGTTTTTGCTTACCCTACAATAAAGGGGCGGACAAACATATAGTTCAAAAATACATCCATGTTGCCTTCGGGGTCAAGGGCAAGCACAATTGGGAAAATCTTTTTACTTTGGTTGGCCCTCAGCCCAAGCCTCTTTATTGAAATAAGCTACGGCTCAAAGTTAGAAGCCAAACAAAAGATTTTGACGTTATCACATTTTTATCTCAACAGTCCAAAAATTTACACGCAAGGAGGTATACAAAATCGGAAAATTCAAGACGAATGTTTGTATTACGTTTGAACTTCTGCTGATTGTCAAAATCATGGAGAATCACTACTACTAATTTTACTAACTATAGTCGTCCTGCCGAGGGATGCTGGTCGAGTTAGGACTCGAAACATGGCTTTCCACTCGACTATTATGGTCCCCAAACATTAACTTACATTCACTTATGAGTTTACATACATTTATTTTATAAAGCATTGGAGATTAATGTTACCACCCTTCCACTGAAACTAGAATAGATAATAAATAATATTTACATAATTATTATATTGCATTTATTCAAATAATAGTATTGCAAGTCTTTGGTAGTTTTTAATCAATGCACTTATGGAATTATGAAGTTGCATATTTCTCAACTATTTCAGTCACTTAGCTCCGTTATTGTCGCACAAATCGAGTGAGACCTTTTCTAAATCTGTAAATATTAAAACTTTACAGAAGTCCTCTTTAAAGATATATGTATATAAATTACAACTTACTATTTTCACTATCACATTGAGCTAATTCAAATAGGCAGTTATTACTGTATTTTTCATGTTTTTGGCCATCATATCCACATACAGGGTTATAATCTTTTGTACATAATTTATTCGCGCAGTCTTTAGTTTGAGCGAGTCCATTGGCAATAAAAGCTAAGGCTGCTAAAATTATTTCAAAATAAAAGAGATCAATTGAGAACTCCACTGCATTACTTACTCGCAATTATCCAAATGTATATTTTCATTATTTTTCACAATTTGGCAATTATTGTATTTAATGTGACGTTCTGCCGCCGTTGAGCATCTGATGTATTGTATCAGTCGATAACTCGTTTTTTATAGGATTTGAATACCAAATATCACGCAAAATAAATACAATATCTGGCAAAAAAAATGCAGTAATAGCACTTCAGAAATGTATATCAAGTACTCTTCTGAGTTGAATTAAGCAATGAATTGGATATTTAATACCGATTTGGCTTAATAAAATTACAAATGACTGGCAGAGATATGAAGATATTATAAAAAATCTAAGACCTCCAATTTGTTCCATGCCGGCACCGAACGACTGATGAATTTATTTGAGGAGCTTTGATTTCATGTCCGAAATACACTCGGAGGACTTCCCACTTCCAACCAAAATTAGAAAACTTAGTTTTTCTCTATTTTAGATGTTGGTCCAACCAGGCCTGGACCCCCGCGGTTTTGGATTGTCAGTACGCAATGATAAACACTCGGCTATTGCGGCCGCCAGTATTTAAAATACTGTCTTTGGCATGATTTTGTTTTCATAAAAATATTTTTACCGGCGGAACGGGGGTTAGTTTTTTTTATTTGATATTAATTTTAAGCAAAAAATTTAAATGGATCCTTCAGTAAGTGCTTATATTTTATTAACAATACTGTTTATAATCGTTCAAAAAAGAAAAGGTTTTCTATTTGCTCAGCTTAACATTTCACATTTTCAGGTACACATTGGCTGTTTATATCTTGATCAGCACATACTCGTACATGCAAATATATCTTAGTACATATCAACGAATGATGCAAAATATTTTTAACCCAGCTATATATATGTTTACAGAAATTATATCTAGAAGCAAAAACGCTTTTACTGAAAACCCTATATGTGTGGTGTTCATTGCTAAGCTTAAGAAGGTTTTAAGTATAGAGGCTTAGGCCCATATTATACACATTGCTATAGTCGAACGTGACAGTCAAAGGCTTGTTATGAAGAATAGAGCTATTTACTAATTACAAATTTATAAAAATAAAATAAATTTAAAAGATGTTGATGGTATTTAAGCCAACCTTTTTATTGTTACTTTATACTCAAGATATATAAAATTAAATTAGCGTCGAAACAATAATAGCTTCGTATGGGAGATAGTCTAAATTTGTGACATTTGTAGGTAGGAAGGTAGAAAATTTTGATTTGATGCTGTAAATATGTATATATTATATGTATGCTAGTAAATGAAATTATGAAAGGACGAATCCCATGCGATTGTGCATACAGTGTGGGACCCCCCACATGAAAAATATACAAAGCCTGGGTTGAGAGAACCCCATTTTAATGACGACTCTCGCAAACGTTTTAAGGAACGCGACTTGAGGGCATGACCTGGTGATTTAATTGGCAAGTGGTTGGTACCCATCTGGTTGATATCCTCGTAAAACTAAAGGCTGTAATCAGCGAGACTGCGTTGCTAATTACTGGCATTCACCCTGCTTGATTAATGTTTCACCAGCCCGCATCAAAATGAAATTTTTCAACACATCACTGATTTGCTCCGATGTCCGACGGTTGCCTTTTATGAGCATTTTTTAATCGTTGCTCCAGCCGCGATGTGACAATCGTGCTTTACGACTTTAACGCCAGGGTGTGGGCAAAATGTGTCTTCGGTACAACTGTCGGAAAATTCAACCCCAACGACCCAAAACGGGTTGAGGCTGATCGACTTCAACGAGTCCCGAAATATATTTGTCTGTAGTATTAAATTCCAGCAAGAGAAAATTCATCAAACTACACAGCAAACAGCCGAACATTTACCTTTTCAGATTACACATTTGCTTTCTGAAAGCACTCATCAGCAACTCGATATGATGGGACTGTGGAACGGCATCTCAAATTCCCTACGTTCCGGCGCGACGGAAACAATTGGTTTTCGGAAGTGCCAAAAAAAAGAGCTGATGAGAAATTCCAAGCCGCAGTGAAGAAAAAACAGACTGCCTACCTTGCAACCTTGCGATCAACAACTAGATTTGACCTTATCAGTGTGACTTTAGATTTTGAAAATCCACAATTGATCAGATATTTGCCATGTGACAAATCGTGGAAAAGACCCGATACGAGTCATCTTTTTATCAGCCTTAAAGCTGCCTTCGTAAACACAGTAACGAACCCTATATTTAAATTTGGCATTCTTGTAAAGCTTATATATACAGTGCAGCTATCTAAAAAATAGTATAATAAGTTTTATATGAAATTTAAATAAATTTACCAAAAAACATGAATGCCGGTTAATATCCATACTTTAAAAATTTTATAGCAAACTGCCAAACACCATCTCTTGATTTCTCCAGGGTTCAGGGGGTCATCGGGAAGGCGAAAGCCTCCAAATCCAACGGCCTCGACGGAATAAGCATGCTGATGATCAAACACCTAGGACCAGCGGGCGCAGAATTTCTCACGAGGGACCACCCTAATGATACCCAACGTATGGAAGATGGGCAGGGTGGTCCCTCTACTCAAACCAGGGAAACCAGCCAACAAAGGAGAGTCCTATCGGCCGAAAACTCTCACACAGCACCACAACAGTACTAAACGCCATAAGCACCCAGATAGTCAATGGCCTTAACCAAATCCGACCCTGCGCGCGAACTGCCCTAGTAGCACTGAATTTTTCAAAAGCTTTTGACACAGTAATTCACTCAGTGCTACTAACGGACACTGAGTAATCCTCATTACCGCCGAGGTTGCAGAGGTGGGTCATGGGCTACCTGAGTGGTCGACAATTATCGGTAAAATTCCGAGGTGAAACATCGAAACCCCGAAAAATTAAACAGGGGGTTCCGCTGGGTGGTGTTCTCTTCCCGCTACTATTTCTATATTTCGAAGCTCTCTCCTCCACCAGAAGGAGTATGCCGATGATTGTACGATAATTGCGTCTGGCCAGGATATTGTCGACCTCTGTTCGAAAGTGAGCTGCTACCTTGCTGATCTTTCCCACTTCTTCTCTGCAAGACAACTGAAAATCCAACAGACTAAATCCTCGGCTACCCTCTTCACCAGATGGACAAAGGAGTACAGGCCTAAACTAGATGTGAAGGTCTATGGCACAAAAATTCGGACGGTAAACAACCCAGATATTGGGAGTAACTCTAGACAGCCTGCACTCTTTCAATCCGCATACGACCACAATTGCCGCAAAACTCCAGAGCCGCAACAAAATACTCGACGCGCTAGCCGGCAGCACCTGGGGTAAAGACAAAGAAACTTTTCTGGCAACATATAAAGCAATTGTTGCACTGATCTGGGCACCAGGAACGAACGAGACGCAGATGAAGAAGCTACAGGCTTGCCAGAACACCACCCTCACGACCGCGAGAGGAAACCTCCTGATGTCGCCGGAGCATCACTTGCCCAGCGAAGTATCCATGCTACGAGTTAAGGAGCATAATGCTTTGCTGTGCAAGCATTTCCGCAGGGAGCGCCCCCTTAGGCACCTAATAGAAACTGATCCTCCACCTAGGCACATCAGAAAGGGAGTACTAGATCTTAAGGACACAATGCAACAACACGTACAACAACCCCTGGACAGGACGGCGTACAGACAAGCACTGAACGTCATTCACCAGGAGTCAGTCAACACCTTCAAGGATTCCCTTCCAGTGAATGACGTGCTCGTAGAAAAAAACCACCTACAGCTGACAACAAGCTGCCTCGAGAGACCCAGCATATCCAACGTATGCCCTGCATGTGGAGAGTCTCCGCACGACACTAACCACCTCTTCACATGCCCACTCAAACCAACTCATCTAACCCCCTCTCTCTTTGGTCCAACACCGTCAAAACAGCTCCCATTAGATGACCTCGGCGACTTAGATTAATCACACCTGTCCCTAAGCGGGGTTAGCGAACCGCTACAACAACAACAAGAACGAATGTCGCACTATCATTGATTTGACTAGAATTACCTAAGCCTATGCAAACGAAAAAGAATTACAATTATCGTTAATTGATATTTGGTATTGGTTTTCTGTTTTCGACTATATTCATTGGCTATTTATCTTTTGACTCAAGAATTGTTGATGTCAAATCGTCATGAAATCATTTACATATTAAATGATAAAATTTGTCAGTACTCAGTACAAAATATATTTAAAATTCTTATTTTTGATTGTTTATAAATGCATGAGAACAAAGAAAACATCACCTCTCTCTCACAATCTGAGTATTTATCGTTCGATCTCAATGTTTTGAAAAATTCACGTTAAAATATAAATAACCTTGACCTTTCAGATTTGTGGCGAGTCAATGTTAAATTTCAGTCTGAACAAATATTCGTTGTGTGTATAAAAAAAATTCGCGGATCTGTAAATTCCAATCCCTTTTTGATGTGAATACAGGTATTAGTATTTTGGTGCGTACATTTCGGATATACTGTTTTATTTTTTTATTTATTTTGTTTTATTAAACTCACAATTAAATATAGAGATTTATATTAAGAATATCACCACTAGTTGCTACGGCTATCGGCCAACTCTCAAGACAGCCGGTTCTACGTACCGGAGTTGACCCGGATTTTATCCGGGCAAGGGCTGTCACCCTTTCGGCGACCTAACTCCGTTTAAGTCAACAGGTAGAATTAGTTTAAGTTCGCCAACGGAGCAGCACCTTGCAGCTGGGTCGCTCCAATTCCTTCTTATCAGGGCTGGCGCCGAAACCGAAACCGAAGCGAACAGGATTTTTATCCAGCAGAGGACTGTCGCTCCCGCAACTTTCCCCAAAAAGTACTTTGGGGAATATTTTTGCGGTTATAACAACAACAATAGCACCAATGTGCGGAATCAAGCAGAATGAACGCTAGGCTCCCACCATGGCTGCGCTCGCGATCCGCTGCCGCTCGCTTCATTCCGGCAGGCCGAATTACGGAAATATGCCCAAGCTTTTCCGACAGAAATGGCGGTATTAGCACCCAGGCGCGACACCCTCCGAAGCTCCGATCCCGGGAATCCCCTAATCAGGGATTTAAACGCGGATATTCGTAGAGTAGTCAACAACCACAAGCGGAAAAAGTGGGAGGAACACTTAAGGACCTGCAACCTCTCCTCTGGGGCAACCAAGCTTTGGGATACAGTCAAGTCGTTGTCTAACCCAGAAAAAATGAACTGTTTAATTTTTGTATTTCGAAACTCCCCCCTCCACCAAAAGGAGTTTCTCTAACCTCGTATGCCGATGATTGTAGGATAATGGCGTCTGGCCATAATATTGATGACCTCTTTTCGAAAGTGAACTGCTACCTTGCCGACAATTAAAAATGCAGCCGATTAAATCCTCGGCTACCCTCTTCACCAGTTGGACGAAGGAATACAGGCTTTAACCAGATGTGAAGGTCGATGACACAAAAATTCTAACTGTAAATAACCCAAAGATATTGGGAGTGACAAAAGACAGCCTACACTCCTTCACTCCGCATAGGACCGCAATTGCCGCAAAGATCCATAGCCGCAACAAAATACTCAAAACGCTAGCCGGCAGCACCTTGGGTAAAGAAAGAGAAACTTTGCTGGCAACTTACAAAGCAATTGGCCCGTCCGGTCGTAAACTATGTTGCAACGATACCGGCTGTGTTTTAGTAATGATAAAATGTATTCGTTAATAAAGTTGATACGACGGGGTGTATGCGATTTTAGCATTTCGATGGAGTTTTGGTTGTTAAAGGCTTTTTCAGTCTTTGGAAGCTTTGACTCCTGTGGTGCATATTACGGCATCGCATTGGGTTGAGTAAGTAGTTTAAATTTGACTTTGCGCAAGGATTTGACTGAAAGATTGCAAGGACGATTTTGTTTTTAAAAATATTAAATGAGTTTTACATTTCTTGCTAATATACATAAGCAATTATTGATGCTGTTAACTTGTGTAACTATGGCGTCAATACATTTGTTATTACGAATTGGCTGAGTTTAATAAGTTTAATTAGATTGTTATCCATTGCATAGATTTTGAGGAAAATATTTTTTATTTCAAGACAGGCTTTTGAAAGTATGCAGCTCAATATATATAATATATTGTGTTCAGCGTACGCCCTTCATCTGTTCATGAATAATGCAGCAATGGCTCACTTCGTGGTCATACAGTTCAAACCTGTTTTCCATGCAAACGATATGCCCTTTGCCATTGCGACCAAACTTTTGGCTTGTTTACTCTGCTCAAAATACAATTCTTACACTCCTACTGCAGCAAGACAAGAAACTTGATAACATTGAATCGTTGTTAATAACAATAATAATAGATAACCAATAATAATGTCTATGCAATGTACAAAGGCCAAACATTGTACAAAAACTTGTTAGGCTCAAGTTATTGATAATCATTGGATACTTTGCATAAATGGAAGGAGAAGCATTGTTAAAAGAGCTTCCATATTTTCTGTCCTTAGTTTGTTGGATATCATTATTCTCAATGGCATGCTTAGCAACACTGTTTACAGAATTGATTGTTGAAGATTAATATAAATTTTAAACTGATCATCTTGGATTCACTACACTTTACACCTTTTATGCATTCATGAAACAGAAGTGCTATTCATTTGGCATGAAACTAAATATTACCTGGAATTTAAGTATGAACAAAAATCAAATTGAAAAGATATGGCGTCCTAATGTTTCTTTAACTTTTTGCCTACCATGTACGGAGAAAATATAGGTATGTTCACATGACAGGTGCGAAAAGACAAAGTTACACAAATTACTTAATTAACCGATTCAAATAAACCTAACTAATTAGATTTACAAATTGATTATATTCAAATCAAACTAAAATAGAGATCATGAAATAAGAAAACAAACTAAAAGACGATTTGTTGTCGTCAAATGTATTCTAGTCGATTACATTCTACCCACAAAAGCTTATCGGATTACATTCAAGATTTATACCCTGTACGAAGCGACATCCAGTTTTTGTTGGCATATGCCACAGCATTTTGTTTACGTATATATTAGGATACAAAAAATTAGGTAGAGTCACTCAAAATTTTTTGAAAAATATTAACCATCTGACATAAAAAGATTGCATGACTTTTGCTTTACTTCAAGTTCTATTTTCAATGTAATTTTTTTTTAATAAATTTTCAACTTTCTAAAATTAAAAAATTATTACAAAAAATGCGAAACCTTTTAATATAAACAAAAAAGTAAAGAAAAATAAAACGTACTCGCAAAAAACTTAAAAGCTTTGCATTGTATTTTCTAAAACCAAATGGAAATAAAATTATTTTCAGGCGGCTTGGCAGTTTTCTATAAAAAATATATAGGAAATATTTTTAAACGGGCAATATCTTGAAGTTAAAATTAATATAAGATAAATTTTCAAAACATATTTTTTTTCCAATTTAATATTGAGTCAAACTACCTTTCTTTTTTGTTTCATGTATTTGGTACTACTATGTATACAGAAGCAACAATTTTTTCTTTGCAATCATATTATATAAAACCTTTACTTTCAAAATCGTTAACAGCATAATAGCATTTCAGCACATATCATCCATTAGTTAAAGACAAATAATGGTTCGCACTTAAAAATAAGAGTATATCGCTTCAACGACGTATTCAACTGATCAGTAATGATATTGCGCAATATTTTCTTATGGTTTAAGGTTCTCATTATACTGGCGTTTAAAGTAGTAGAAAAATCGCTATGCGCGATGTAATTGATTTATTTCTTGCTGCGCTAGCAATAACGGTTTACTTTCGAAAGAACGTTTTCTTTGTGTCGCAGATTCCAATTTGTAAATTGAAAGTTAAAAATGAATTCAGTTGAACTGCCTGTACTATTATCAATTGGAGGACTCTGTACTTTGTGCCAAAAGGAATCGAAATGGATTTGCCAGCGTTGTCTTGATTTGTATTGTTCAGCGGAATGTCAAAGGAGGGATTGGCACCGACACCGTTACATTTGCTTCCCAATGCCTGGTTTATTACCTGCAGCAAAAGTGGAGGTTTCAGACGCTCAAAATAAGAAAACTATAACATCTAACTTAAAGGATAATAAGTTTAACTTACCTCCATGGGAGGTATGTAAAGATATTTCAGGATTGGAGTCAGAAAAGTTGAACTCTACATTATGTAATGTAACTGAATCAATTAGCAAACCCCGTCCGAAAAAAGAAAGTGTTCAAATGAGCCCTAACCAAAGCGGTATTAAGAACAAGGATAACTGTACAAATAATAAAAAAGAGGAATTATTATTGGATTTATATCAAGATGAACCTTGCCAGAAGGAATCCAAAGAAGCTCATCCGCTTTTAAATCGTGCTTCTACTAACATGATTGCTTCGGGAGATGATCCGATTTTGTGTCCTCCATTTAATATAAGTATGTTCAAATCTAATAATCGCTCTTTTAATGTGATTGTATTGGATACTTCAGCCTTGAGTTATGGTTATATTGGATGTATAGCTGAAACGGATTTGAAATATTTAATAAATATTCAAAAATATCTGAGTAACTACACTGATACTAAAGAGATTTATCATCCGAAACTCCACGAGTATTGCTTGGCCCGGTTTGAGAACGAATGGTATAGAGCAAGAGTAGTGAAAGTAATTGATAGCTCACGTTATAATGTCGTTTATTTGGATTTTACTAACGAAAGTGTGCTCACTTCTGAAGATATTCGTCGCTATCCATCTGATTTAAATGACCCTTGTCATACCAACCTTTGTTTGTTCGATGGCCTGCCAACTACTTTGAATGTCGATCATGTCAACTTTTTAAAAAAAGAAATAACTACCGAGAGTAAGCTGCATATTGATAAGGTTCAAGAAGTTATAGAACAAATTGTTGTAATAGAATGCCAATATATACTTAAAAAAATGCGATCCGCTGGCTTACTCTAAAATATTTGTTGTCGGGGAATCGTTAAACCAGTGAATTATTTTCTTTTTTATTTTATGTATGAAAACACGAAATATTTCAGTTTTTGAGTTTCTTTAAGAAAACCATAATAAAAGTTTGAAAGAAATTTTTTTAATTTTAGTAAAAGTAGTATTTTCTTAACTTAGTAATTGAGATAAATTGTCAACAAACTAGTACCCAGTATTAGACAGCAGCTCAATTTCTTCTCTCGTTCTGGTGTGACTCAGAACGACATTCAATGGAATAGAGTTCGGACTGTCGTTGAATGGCGTAATTAATCCTTGTTCAGCGGTTCTTGTAAGCAGTGATGAATGGAGTCGTTAAAGTGGGGTACTTCCTTCCTAATGGGCTCTAGCAAGTTGGAATGAAGGAGTGCAGGCTCCCGAATATGATTACCAGTATCTGTTACTAGTCTTAATTTTTACGCCATCGACTTTCACATTGAGATATAGAAGGTAACCAACAGTGGGAAGAGTCCCCTTTTTGATCTTTGAGTTTGGGAGTTGCACCTCGAAATTAATGATTGTCGTCCACTCGAATAGTCCGTGGTCCACTTCTTATACCTCGGGGGTAATGTGGAGTCCCAAAAGTCCGATAGTACCACTGAATGATTGACAGTATCAAAATCTTTAGAGACTGATACCAAGACATTTCGCGTGTGGGGTGGCTTTGGTTGTTGTTATAACCGCAAATATTATGCTAATCGGTTTTCGGAGAATATTACGGCACAGTGACAGTCCTTGGCCGCGTATAAACCCGGTTTGTTCCAGCATAAAGTCCTGATTGTCGCTTCAACTATTAGATTTTAGTCGCCTCTTACGACAGACATGCTTTACCACGGGTGAGTTCTTGAGCCTTTAACCCCGAAGAAGTGTGGGCTTAGGTTGAGGTCATTGACAATCTGAAGGATAGCTCACCGGCGCTGAGGTCAGTTGGACTGGCGCGAGCTGAATATGTTCTCAGTGACTTCCATGAGTCCGAGCTAGTTAGCTTTTTAAAAGTTAGGGGACACACCTAGTGTAATGTTCTAAAACAGAGGTGATTTTTGGGAATTTTTTATTAAAAAAAATACTTATCAATTATTTCAAAGTTTTAAGAATATATTTAATATTTATACATGTTTCAAGAATATACAGTGAAATTTTTGAAGAAAAAAATTAAATATTTCTTAAGTTATAGTCGATCTCCAAC